ATGAAAGTGAAGAACCACGTCCTAACGCCATGTGGCAAGAAATTTTTAATGATCTTCCTTTTGTAGTGATCTTAATCCTGCCTCCTGCATTCGTACGTCCTTCCACCTCCACCCCTCCTGTCACCCATCAAATCAATAAACATATAGCAAGTGTGCACTTCATGCCAGTCATCGGCTCTGTGCAGTTTGTGTGTGTATGTGCGTGCATGCACATGTGTATGTGTGTGTTCTCTGTGTGCATGTGTTTACCTCATTATTACCCATGGGTGAGGGCACACCTTCATGCATACAACTACCATGCGCAGCAAACCATGGGCCGTGGGCCAAATCCAGCCTGCCAGCCGTTTTTGTAAACAAACTTCTATTGGGACACAGCATGGCCATTCACTTCTGTGCTGTCGGTGGCGGCTTTTAATGCAGGACGGAGCAGTTGCAACAGAGACCAAATAGGCTGCAAACCTGAAATATTTACCTTCTGGTCCTCTGCCTGGAAGTTTGCTGACTCCTGCTTTTACGAAAGAGAACTCAGCAAACAGTGATCCAGAGGAGCTGCCCCCGTTGGCGGGGTGGTAGTAATGTCTGTGGGGTGTGGGGTGAGCTGCCCAGGCATCGAATTGTCGGACGTCAGTTCATGAAAACAGGGCTGGCATCAGCTGAGGCTGGGGCTTCCGCTCCTGTGAGAGAGGTATCTGGAGGAAACAATGAGATTCTCCAGCGTCATATCTGTCTCCACATATGAGGCCCGACAGAGGTGCAGGACGGCTGCTGACAAGGTATGAGGTGAGCCATGGCCTGACCGTGGCAAATGGACATAGAGGAGGGACACTGGCGGCCAGCACGTATTGAGTGTTTACACAAAGTACATTAGCCTTCAAGTTTCCTAACAGCCTGTGAAAAGCTATCATTAGCTCCACTTTATAGATGAGAACAACGAGGCTGGGACAGTTAGTAAAATTACACACCCAGGAAACAGCATTGCCTGGGTCTGAGCCCGGGCAGTCTGACTCCAAAGCCCAGAACTGAACTGCGGAGCTGGGCTGCCTGGCAGGGCAGGAGAGGGGGCGTGCGGGCCACGTGAGGGCTTCTCACTTCCTGTTGTGGGCCTGGGACCTCCTGCTTCACCTGTAGGCCTTCCTCGGAACATGTCGTGTAGATGTGAACTATCCACACATTTTTGCAAATTGGATAACTTTTGAACTGCCTTGTGGGTATTCTTTTGTAAAATGAAGGCTCACAACCTTTTGCTGTGAAGCTGGGCGGTTTGCGGAGGACACACCTGCAGCTAGCCATTTTGTGTGTGGTTTTTTTTTTTTTAAATCTGTTGCTGTCTCTTTTATAATTAAATTTTTTTTCAATTACACTTTACATTCAATATTATTTTCTGTTAGTTTCAGGTGTGTAGCATAATGGTTAGATAACCACATACTTACAGTGTCCCCCCATATTTCCAGGACCCACCTGGCCCCATCCATAGTTATCGCAACATCATTGACTCTATTCCCTAAGCCAGTGATGGCGAACCTATGACACGCATGTCAGAGGTGACACGCGAACTCATTTTTTTTTGGTTGATTTTTCTTTGTTAAATGGCATTTAAATATATAAAATAAATATCAAAAATATACATCTTTGTTTTACTATGGTTGCAAAGATCAAAAATTTCTATGTGTGACACGGCACCAGAGTTAAGTTAGGGTTTTTCAAAATGCTGACACGCCGAGCTCAAAAGGTTCGCCATCACTACCCTAAGCTGTACTTCACATCCTCATGACTATTCTGTAACCACCAATCTGTACTTCTGAACCCCTTCACCTTTCCCACCCCGTCTTCCAACCTCCCTCTTCTCTGGCAACCATCAGGCTGTTCTCTGTATCTATAGTCTATTTCTGTTCTGTTTGTTCCTGTCGCTGTCTCTTTATCTCTCTGTCCCCACGTGCCCCCCTCCATCACGTGGAGGCAGGATGAGCCACAGCTCAAAATCAGCGATAGGGAGGCTGCCCTGCTCAGCCCAAGGGCAGCTGGGGCTGCCAGGACGCAGACAGACCCTCTGCTGACCACCGGGGAGTGGGCCCAAGGCTGTCGGGTGGAGCTCTGTCTGGTCTCTTCCTCACGGCACCAAGTGGGCTGTTTCCTAGAGTGTGTCAAGGGGTCAGCCTCCCTGGCTGCACCCACCCACAGAAACCTCTTCTCTCATTCCTCCCTCTTTGGGGGGATCTTGTGGACCTGCCTGGGGCCCGATGACTGTAAGACAGGAGGTGCGGGGAGGGGGAGGGGCATCTGTCTGTGGGCATTTAAATTCCCACTTCTGCTGGGAATTTGCAGACATACACCTGCCCACTGAGGCTTCCGCTCTGATCTCAGCCTGGAGAGGAGGAGGCGGCACGGGGTGTGCTGGCAGATGTCTAGGGCCGCCTGAAATCCAGGTCTCTGGGTTCGGGGGGAGGAGCGGACTGGGTCAGGAATACACAGAGGCAGCCCCTTTCCTCTCGCAGCCTGCCTCCCACCCCGGCCTCTGGCCCCCTGTTCCCTGATGTTTCGCTCCACGCTCCACGGGCACAGTCGGTTTGAAAGGTCCCTCCTGGGACCGTATCTCAGAGAGGGAGCGCAGGTCACTGATGAAGGGTATGCTCAGCATGGCTCACAGCTGCACCCAGAAATGAGGAGCTGGATCGTGGGGCAGCTTGTTACTCCTCCCCCCCCGCCCCCCAAGGCTCCCTCGTTCCCAGGTGCTGGGCTGCTGTGAATGAGCATTCGAGGGCACCCACATGGCACAGTGAAGGCAGAGCGGGCAAAACTCGCTTCTGCGGGGGGTCCAGGCTCGGTAGAAAGAGGCAGGACTCCAGGCTCCACAGTCCCCCTAACACAGGTCAGGAGTCCCACTGGGCAGGCAGCAGCTGGCGTCTAGATGGGCAGAGGCACTGCCTTTGGTATGAGGTGCTGGCTCAGCCCGGCTGGTCAGTTCCCTGCCAGGCCACGTTGGTGATCGCATCCCCAGCAGGGTCTTGTGCCCCGTGCCCTGTAAGGCTAGGCCAGCCCAGCCCTTTGTGACAGGGGCCAGGGCTGACCTGGTGGCCTGGGGTCACTCCGTGGGCTGCAGCTGGACTGGGCAGAGCATCTCTGACACCCCACCGAGTTCAAATGTCGCCCAGGCTCGTCAACCACTCCTCAAACGTCTGTGGTCTCTGGCCTCCGAGTCCCTGCTCCTGTGGCTCTCCCTGTGGAGACTGTCCTCCCTCCTTCCACACCCAACCCAAATGCCCCCTCTCTCCTGAACCCGCCTCCCACCTCCCCATCAGAGCGACTTCATCCCTCCTCGTGCCTGAGTCCTTTTGTCCTTACAACCTGCCGGGTGGGGTGAGGGCTCCACATTCCTGGAGGGAGACCACCTTCTCCATTCTGAATCCCACCCTGGCCCCTGGCTTCCCTGCCTTGCCTGTCCCCCTGGGCTGTCGCCGTGTGTGGGATTACATGGGGTTGAGTGTAGACAGCCCAAGGGCTGGAGCTGCTGGCTCCATGTGCTTGAGGTGGGCGTGGGGACATGGCTCTGTCTCTGGCTGGGACGTGGCCCCTGCTCCCGCCCCCAGCAGAGCGCGTTGGCCTCACTCCTGGCTGAGCACAGTGCATGCCTTTTGGGTGGGTGACGGGGCCTTTTTAACCAGTTCCAGCCTGGCCTTTGGGAAATGTGCTGACACCAGGCAAAGCATAAACACTGACATTTGGTGACGGCCTTGCCCCCAGGGTTCTCAGGCAGACAGAAGCCGGCCAGGAGGGATGAGGGACTCCGTCAGGAGGGGCAATTAACTGAGTAATAGAGGGAGGACTAGGCTTGGTCCAAGACGGAGCTTTCATGTGGAATTCCAGGCGGCGATGAGGTTTTGAATTGTGCGCATGGGAACCCGAGACCCCCTTTGACTTAAACAACGAAAGCAGCCCCTACATCACGCACACCGGAGGCCTGCTGGCCCCAAGCCAGGCTTCCTGCTCCTTCCTGGGCACGGGGCCTGCTGTCCCATGTCAGAAGCTTGACCCCGCCTCCTGCCCCTCCCCAGGCTGGCGGGTGGTGATGATGAGGGATCAAGGGGAAGTCCCCGCTGCATCCGTCACCAGTGCTATCCCTGTCACCAGAGACTTCCTGCTCCATCCCAGTTCCATCTCGCCTGTGGGAACAGGTGTGTAATTCCCGAGAGACGTGGAGACAGGCAGGGCCAGCCAGCCTTGCTCCGCCCCCGTCACAGCTGCGGCCAGAGCGCGGGGGGGTGGGGGGGGGGGTGGGGGGGGGGGTGGGCAGGAGTCTTCCCAGATGCTCTGGCCTGGGAGGCTGGTGTCCGGCGCAGTTGCTGGGAGAATGGATCAGCATGACAAAACCAATCATGGCTAATAGCTGTCAGCACTTATGGAGTTCTTTCTGTTCTCTCTGGGCCTTGTTTTTTGTGGCCTCCCATTTAATCCCCACAGGAACTCAGTGACTTGGGAAGGTGCTTTATTATGCACATTTCACAGGCGAGGAAACAGGCTGGGGAGAGTGACTTGTCGGGTCACACAGTAAGAAATGGGTGAGGTTGTCTGACACCAAGGTCTGTGGTGCATAACTTCTGGTGGGAGCACTGAACGGGGACTTCTGTCTCTCAGGGGACCTGGCTCCAGACTTTGAAGGACTGATACCAAGCCTTGGGGCTGGCCACCTTGAGGTCACTCAGGCCAGCCCTCAGCTGTGGCCTTGCCTGGAGGGGTCAGGACAGAGCACTTGACTGTGCATTAGGCCCTCCCGCCGGCAGAGTCTCACTCCTCACAGCATCCTTGGGAAGGAGGCAGGATGGCTCCTATTTCTCAGATGGGGAAACGGAGGCTTCTGATGGGAAGAGTTGGGACCAGAACTTTGGCCTTGACACCTGCTGCCTCCTCACCTTCTCCTGGGTCAGGGTGAGGCTGCCGTGTGGGCGTGGAGGTGACTCAGGCATGGCACGTGGGCGGGCGGGCACTGCAGCTGTGGCTGGTGGGTGTGGCCTGCCTGGCGCCGAGGGCAGGTGGCCCAGCCAGTTCTGCCTCTGAAGCCTCATTCCAGCCATCTCTCTACCTGTGATGAGAGCCTCCCGCCGCCTCAGCCAGTGCCCCACCGGGGGGCCTTGGGCCCCGGGCATGCGGTGATCTCAGAGCAAGGGCAGCCACCACCACCCGACCTCACCAGGTGAGTGGCCACACAGGCAGCCAGTGCCCTTCAAAGCCCGGGGGAGTCCAGGGGGAACCCAGTGAGAGGGCCTAAGGGGTCCTCTGGGCCATGTCCACCCTTTGTTGCTAGGCCTCAGGCAAGTGTTGGAGGGAGTGTGAGCCTCTAGCAGGGGGAACAAAGCCAGACTTGGGCTGAGCTCTTGGCCCTGGGGCGTGTGCCAGAGCACAGGGTCTGATGGAGCCTGGAGCCTTTCCCCGATTTCCCCGAGGGCTGGGGATCTGGGGAGGGAGAACCTCACAGCTCTCAGGGCCAAGATGAGGTGCCTGTCTTTCCAGCAGGCCCAGGGATGCGGCTCTGTGGGCAGGAGTGATGGGACTTCAGGAGGGGGGAGGCGGCTCTGAGCGGAGAGGGACAGGGCCCAGGCATTCATTCCACAGGTGCCGGGCCAGAGGCGAGGGGCTCCCTGGGCCTGTGGACAGTGCCCGGGCTGGGGAGACAGCCTCCTACCTCCCAGGTGGAAGCCTGATCCAGAGAGAGGGATGCTGCGGCATCGAGAGTCTGGCTGGTGAGAACGCAGGGCCTCCTGGGTGACTCAGGGAGCTAATTACAGCTGCCGATGTCCCAGTCCGAGTTTTCCTGAGCCACTTTGCCCAGCTGCCCAGTGCTGCCCACACCCATGGGCGGGCCCAGGGGAGAGAGGATGGAGCAGACGGCTGCATGCAGAGAGATACAGGGCCCTTGGGGACCATTCAGCCCATTTCTCAGAGTAGAAAACAGAGGCTCAAGGAGGCGTGAGAAACAGGCCTTTCATCCCTCTTCTTTACTCTTGGCCTTCACTTCCGTGCATCTGGCCGCTTACAATGGTCTCTCAATGGGCTGCTGCACCTGGTTGGCCTTAAGGCGCTTCCTCTGAGCTCCCTGCCCCGAGGTGCCCATACTTCTGGTCAAAGGCCTCGGTGAAGACTCCTCCTCTCCCCAGGTTGCTCACCTTTAGTGTGTGTGTGTGTGTGTGTGTGTGTAGGGGCTGTGACATTTGTAAACCGCACTCCAGTCTGACAACAGCCTGCTCCAGACACCTCCTCCAGGAAGCTCTCTTATTTGGGGCAGGATCACCAGTGGCCTCAGTTCCACTCCGCCCAACGGGGCTCTTACAGAAACCTGTCCCTCACCCCCACCTCCCTGACTCCGAGGGAGTTCCCTCAGTGCTGCTCGAGCTGAGAATGGCCCCCATTAACTACAGAGTCACCTCCTGTCCACACAACCCTTTCCCATGGCCAGCCCACCCTTCCCATCCTGATGGCCCCCACAGCAGCCTCCCCTGGCCCCCGCCTCTGGTTTCCCCGTCCCACACGCAGCCTGCTCTCTCCAAGGTGGCTGTCTCCTATGTACCCCGGGGCCTTCCCATGTTCCCCGTTGCCCTGGGGCTCTGCCACAGCACCTGGCTGGCGTCCAGTCCTCACAACTTGACCCATCCTGCTCCCAAGCCTCTTGCTATCGGGGCTCCCCATGAACAACCACACCAGCTCCTTACCACTCGCTCAACTTTTTGACCCCTGGCCTTGGCATTGTCCTTCCTCCAGTCTCCTTAGAAGATGCATCGGTCCCTCTTTCCAGCATCTCCCTCCCACCAGCGCGCAATCCAGCCACACTGACTGTCAATAAAGCAGGTCTGGACGGAGAGGCTGCCTCCTCAGTTGCTCCCTCCACGCGAACAGACAGACACAAGGCTGGTTGCACTGTGCTTTGTGTGGGCAAGAGAGAGCTGGTCAGTGTGTTAGCTACAGAGACCACCAGGTGCTGAGAAATCCAGAAACCAGAGGGGCTGAAGCTGTGTCATTAGGAGCACACTAGAGCAGCGGTTCTCAACCTTCCTAATGCCGCGACCCTTTAATACAGTTCCTCATATTGTGGTGACCCCCAATTTCATTGTGACAAATTGAACATAATGAAAGCATAGTGATTAATCACAAAAACAATATGTAATTATATATGTGTTTTCCGATGGTCTTAGGCGACCCCTGTGAAAGGGTCGTTCGACCCCCAAAGGGGTCTCGACCCACAGGTTGAGAACTGCTGGTCTAGAGCAAAGGAGGTAACAAGTCCTGTTCTGTCATGGAGAGCTCTGAACACAAAATCCGAGATGAGCATTGAGAAAACAGCATTTGGCCTGGCTGGTGTTTCTCAGTGGTTAGCGCATTGGCCTGTCAAGAGAATGTACCTGAGTTGCAGATTTGATCCCCAGCCTCGGTCGGAGCACGAGCTGGAGGCAACCAGTCAATGTGTCTCTCACATTGATGTTTCTCTCTCTCTCTCTCTCTCTCTCTCTCTCTCTCTCTCTCTCGCTCTCCTCTCCCTCCCTCCCTTCCACTCTGTCTAAAAAAATCAATGGAAAAACATCTTCGGGTGAGGCTGAGCAAACAAACAAACAAGAGAAAGCAGAACTTATTCTCAACAATCCACCGGGAGATTGGCGGGGCTGGAGCAGGGAGCAGGGGGCAGGGAGCAGGGGGCAGGGAGCAGGGAGTAGGGAGCAGGGGGCAGGGAGCAGGGGCAGCTTCAGGGACAGTCTCCCTGTCCCTGAGAGCGGTTGGTGGCCTGGGAAGGGAGCGAGTGAGCTCCCCATCCTAGGGGTATAAGCAAGGGCCCCAGGGAGTCTGAAGCCCCCGAAGCTCCTCCATGCCCCTGAGTCAACCCGAGCATCTGTGCTGTGATTGTGTTCTAGCCATGAATGCCCACCCCAAGGAGATGGTGCCCCTCATGGGCAGAAAAGCCACCGTCACCAGTGGGAACCAAGTCGTCCTACAGGAGAAGCGGCCAGCGGAGATCACCCCCACTAAGAAGAGGTAGGACGGGCAGGCTTGGGCCTGGGTGCTGTGCGGGAGTCCTGGTGCTCACTCTCAGGGAGCCCTTGCCTGGGCTGGACCGGAGAGGTTCAGCCTCATCTGCAGTGGCCTGGTGCCCAACGAAGTATAACCGGGTGGGCGGGGAAACCATGTCATAGACCAGTGATGGCGAACCTTTTGAGCTCGGCGTGTCAGCATTTTGAAAAACCCTAACTTAACTCTGGTGCTGTGTCACATATAGAAATTTTTTGATCTTTGCAACCATAGTAAAACAAAGACTTATATTTTAGATATTTATTTTATATACTTAAATGCCCTTTAACAAAGAAAAATCAACCAAAAAAATGATTTCGCGTGTCATAGGTTCGCCATCACTGTCGTAGACTCAGGGGTCCGAGCCAGGGAGGTCAGTGTGACTGGAATCATCAAGGGCGTGTCTGGAGGCACTGAGGCAGGAACCTATAGGAAGACTCCTGGGGAAGGTAAGGGATTGCTGGAGCCATCTGGAGACAAGGGGAAAAAGGTGGGTTGACATTACAGGTGGTCAGGACCCCATACTGGGTACTATTTTCATGCACATCCATTGTGTGCCCAGCCAGGTCACTCACCCTAACGCCACCTGTGTAATGGGGACACCAGCAATGGCACCAACTCATAGGATGATGGTTAATTGGGATCGTGCCATCCAAGTACTCAGCCCGGTGCCTGACCCGCAGTCAGTGTCTAGCCCAGCCGTGGGCAAACTACGGCCCGCGGGCCAGATCCGGCCCATTTGAAATGAATAAAACAAATAAACAAAAAAAGACCGTACCCTTTTATGTAATGATGTTTACTTTGAATTTATATTAGTTCACACAAACACTCCATCCATGCTTTTGTTCCGGCCCTCCGGTCCAGTTTAAGAACCCATTGTGGCCCTCGAGTCAAAAAGTTTGCCCACCCCTGCTCTAGCACATGTTGGCATTGATAGTATTTTTGTAACCTTGAGCTTCATTGTCATCAACACTCCACAGGACCCTTGGGAACGGGGCAGGGCTAGGATGTTTTGACCACTTCCCAGCTGGGAACATGGAGCAGGGAAAGTACTTTTCCAGGGTCACACCTGGCCCCTGAGCTGCCTCCACTGTTGTCCCCCGACCCCCTCAGCCTATTTGTTGCCCCTCAAACCTGAATGCCCCTCCTCCACCCCAGCTGTGCTTCCCCTGGCCCTGGGGTGGGCCGACTGGTCTAGGCTGGCCCATTTGCCTTGCCTCCTTTGCCCCTGTCCCAGGCCCACTCTTGGCCAGAGGTGAGCTTGGTGCTTTCCCTTATATTGGTTGGAGTAATAATCACTGAGGTCTTCTATGTATCAGGTCTGAGGCAGGGACCAGTGAGGAGTCCCATGTGGTTGAAGTGCTGGATGGGTGGGGGAGTTTGAGGAGATGAGTTCCATTGGGGCTGGGCCTTGGTGGTGGGTTAAGGAGAGTGGACAAAACTAAGTGGGGAGCCACAGAGGGTTTGGTGTGAAAGGAAGGGCATGGTGAAATTTGCATTTTGGAAAGGATACTCTGGGTGATCTGCATGGATGACGGATTGGAGGAGAGACTGTTGGGAAGTCCAGGTGGTGAGGTCTGAGCCTGGGTGGTTAGGGGTAGAGAAAAGGGGACCGATCAGAGAGGTATTATGATCATGGGGTCCACGGGATCAACTATGGATGGGGAGGGAGAATGAGAAACAAAAGACATCCCCTTCTTCTGATGGGGGGACCTGGAGGGATGATGGGACCATCTCTGATGGGCATGTCAGAGGAGAAGGGGCAAGATCAGGAGGAATAAGCCAAGTTCAGGTGTGAAATGTTGGCTGAGAGAGGCCCATGGGACATCCAGATGGAAGCTCCATCCCGGAGCACAGGAGAGAAAATTCAGAGGTCAAACATGGAGATCAGATAGGTCTCAGTAGGTCCATGGGGCAGCTTGGATCTCGGTGAGCTTGTCTGAGTAAGAGCAGAGAGATCCTTGAGCCAAGCCCCAAACCATCACCCTCCTGCCTCTCTTCCCCTCCCCCTCCCTCTCATGTTCCCAGAGGAGGTTTGAGTCTCAGGATTGAGGACAGGTTTTCAGGAAAATCCCAGGTTCTTCCAGCAGTCAAGCTGTGATTTTGAGCCCATGCCTGTTCGTGAACTTAACTCTAGGCTCTGCTCTGCCTATGGCCTTAATCAGCCAAGGGCCTGGGTGTGGGATGTGACCTTTTTCTCAGGACGTGGTGGCCCCTTCTCCTTCTGGAAGGCCTTTTAAGAGCCGTTATGTGTGCCGGCTTCTCCCAAGACCCTGAAAATGTGGGCATCTCCCTCAAAACTGAGGATAGAGCTCCTCAGGTCTAGAAAGAAAAAGAAAAGAAAAATTATATGTAAATAACGATGGCAATTGTGACCACTAAGGAAACATGAACTAAGTGGTGGAATTGAAGGCATCAAGAAATCTAGATCAGGGAGAGATTTTTTCCTGAACCAGCATGCCACTCCTGTGAGTAGCTGGCACGGTGACCATCTTACTGGGCAAGGTGATGCCCAGGGACAGCGATGAGGCTGATAAAGGCTGTGGAGGAGTTGGCCTCCTGGCGCTCAGAGCACTTGGGCATTTATTGGGACAAAGCAGGGAGACAGGCTCCTCCCTAGCCCTGGGGCTGCTTGAGGGAGCAGCTCTTTGCCTTCAAAGAGGCAGAAATGCAGGAGAAATAATGCAGAGCTGCCTGCTTACCTGTATGAACAACATCCAGGTGCTGCCCTTTGGTCTGGGCCGAAGGTAGAAGTAAGCAAGCAGCACCTGCTGCAGATCAGGAGCCAGGATGTCACAAGACCTTGCCATCTGCTGGTGATGGAGGGTGAGAGGTGGCCTGTGAGGTGGCAAGTAGGATAGGCCTGGGACAGGCCTTCATGGTCCAGCAGCTCCCTGCCCCAGGAGTTAGATCCTTGCCCACTGTTGGGTCCTCTCCACCCTGACTCTTACCACCCTCCTTTCAAGCCCCCAAAGACTTCATTTTTCAGAAATTCGTACCATTTGCAACAGCATGGATGGAACTAGAGAGAATTATGCTAAGTGAAATAAGCCAGTCAGTGAAAGAAAAATACCACATGATCTCACTCATTTATGGATATTAAAGAACATTATAAACTGATGAACAAAAATAGATACAGAGGCAGAGCTGCCTCGAACAGACTGTCAAACTACAGTGGGAATGCTGGGAGGGTTGGGGTGGGGGAGGTAAGAGATCAATCGAAGGACTTGTATGCACGCATATAAGCATAACCAATGGATGCAAGACACTGGGGTGGGGGGTGAGGGCATGTGCGGGGGGGGGGGGGGGGGAGGGGGGGTGTGAGGGGGTGAGGTAGGGGAGGCCAGGGGAAGGTCAATGGGGAAAAAAAGGAGACATATGTACTACTATTTGTAATACTTTAAACAATAAAATACAATTTACAAATTAAAAAAAAAGACTTCCTTTCTCAAACACAGCCCCTACCTCCCTTCCAGGTGCTTCTCTCATGCTGCTCTTTCTGCTTCCAGGGCTTTTCTCAAACCACAGGCCCATTTCAAGATCCTGCCCAAATCTCACCCAACAGATCACAGAACCTTCCCCATCCCTGTCCTCAACTGGGAGGACCTTCTCCTCCCCTGAGCTCATATAGTCTCTCTGAACAGGTAGCACAGTTAGTTATTAGGACAATGTCTTAGCTCTGGTTGAGATCTCTGAGGTCAGCGCCTCTCGAGAGGTCATCTCTTCCCTTCCTGCCCCCAGGTTTCCTATGCAGAGCATACTCATAGTTATGGAGTAAGTGGGTGAGTCAGTGAAGGAGCAGGCAAGACAAGGAGAGGAGTGGGTGGGTTGATGAGTAAGTAGCCTGTTGGCTCAGCACAGTCCCTCAGCATCAGTGAGAACACCTCACGGCGAGATGAGGACACACTCCTTCCCTGCCCTCGGGCCCTCAGTCTCCAGGCCTGGAGTGGATAGATACTTTCATGATTTGGTTTTCTGGAGCGTTCTTAAGACCCCTGTGGGCTCTGGGAGGAGGCCCTGAGAAGGAGGAGGAGTGGAGGAGAGCCAAAGGACCTCTCCCCAGCTTCTTGTGTAAAACTGAGAATGAGAGGTGAGGACTTCCGGCAACTGAGAGCCTAGTGGGAGTCACTTGAGGGTTGCAACCTCCAAACAGCATTTGCAGGGTAAGGTTGTGTTGGTCTGTTTGCTTATTAGTCCAGCTCACCAGTCTCTCTATTCACATATTTATGCACCCAACTAAGTCCTCAGCCTCCTTCCCTTCCTTCCTTCCTTCCTTCTTTCCCTCCTTCCTTCCTTCCTTCTTTCCTTCCTTCCTTCCTCCCTCCTTTCCTTCCTTTTTAACTTCCTTCCTTTCTTCCCTCCTTCCCTTTTCCTTTCCTTTCCTTTTCCTTCCTTCCTTCTTTCCTTCCTTCCTTTATTCCTCCCTCCCTTTCTCCCTCCCTCCCTTTCATCCATTCATGAATTCAGCATCTATCCATCTATTCATTCATCCACTCATCTGTCCATCTATTCCACCAGCCATTCTTCTTTTCATTCATTTATCTTTCACTCATTGCCTATCTATCTCCCTGTTCATCCATTTAGTTTCTTCTGAGTGTCAGGACCAGTGTTGGGTTCTGGTGAATCAAGGATAAAACAACTGTAGTTTCTGCATTGAGAAACTTGTAGCTGAAGGATAGTGCATTATTTAGATCAAGGAAAGCAATGGCTGCCTGGTTGGTGTTGCCCAGTGGTTAAGCGTTGGCCCATGAACCAAGAGGTCGCCACTTTGATTCCTAGGCAGGGAATATACCTGGGTTGCGGGCCTGATCCCTGGTGGGAGGCTTGTAGGAGGCAGGCAATCGATGTTTCTCTCCCATCAATGTTTCTATCTCTTTATCCCTCTCCCCTCCTTTCTAAAAGTCAATTAAAAAAGAAAAGCAATGGCCTCATTGTGCTGTGCCCTGGCCTGATCATTGGGGTCAGTTTTGGCCAACCTACTAGAACAGTGACTCTGTGAGGAGAGAGATTTTGCACAAGTGTTCACCACTATATCCCCAGTTCCTAGAACAGTGCCTGGCACATTATAGGTGCTCAACAAATATTTGTTGAGTAAATGTATTGCTGAGGAGCCCAGACAGGCAGGGATAGCTTTGGGGTGGCTATTGTGGTGGCACTGCAGGGGGCAGGGGAATGGTGCTTGGACTCGATGACCTCTGATGCCCATTTCACCTGGACAGTCCCTAAGTGATTACCCCAGCGTTCTCCTGATCCAGAATCCAAGCCCTGAGGGGTCATCTGACCCGGCCATTCTCTACCCAGGTGAGGACACTTGGCCCTGCGATGGCAAGAGACCACCTGGGGTCACATAGGAGGCAGAGGCAAAAGCAGAGGCAGAGGCAGAGGCAGAGCCAGAATAGAACCCAGGCCTTAGGATCCCAGCCAGGGGTTTACTCCTTCCTTTGTCTTCTCTTTTGGAAGAAGGATATGATTTTAGGTCAGACCAGAAGGTTCCTCTTGGTGGGCAGGAGACAGGAAGGTGAGGGCCAATGTATCAACCGACACTGCCCCCACCCCACTTATGCCCATTTCTGGATTAGTTGAGCCTTCCAGACTTGTCTGTGGCTGGAGGAAAGGAGAGGAAAGGGATTCCCCAGGCTAGGCCTGGGTCTCCCTCCTGCCTGCCCCACCCCAGGGGTAGCTGTGTTGGGTGCCTCCCTCTGCAGCTAATTCCTGGAGCTGGTTTAGTGGGAAGCAGACCCGGAGGGCTGAGGGGAGAGCAGAGCAGCATGGAGAGTGGCATGAGCCCGAGGCTGGACGTGAGGAGTCAGGTTCTCTGACTAACTTGGCTTTTATGCTCAGGGGTGACTGTGGATGAGTGGCTTCTCCATGCTGGGCCTTGGTTCCCCCTTCTGTAGAATGGGGCCACCATCCCTCCTCTGCTCTCCTCCCTTGAACTTGGTATGACTGGGACTGTACTTTGGGAGCTCTTCTGTGGTCTTGGGTATTGATCCTCTAGGCCTGGGAGGGAGGCAGGCAGCAAAGATGCTTAGGAGAGAGGCCACCTCGTCAGGAGGCCCAGTCCAGGCCAGGGCACGGAGCCAGGGCACAGCCAGCACTTGCACTGCAGCGGCCATGGGTGGGGGTGTTGCTGCCACCGAGGTCATCCTCAGCCCGATCCTCACCATCCTGGTTGTCACGAGAAGGCGTGTCTCTGAGTGTGGGATTGTGGGTTCTGAGAGCATGCGTGTCTGCATTTGTGGGTGTGTCTGAAGGCGGGCCCCTCCCTCACCCTCCACTGCTCCTCACCTCCACTTCCAAAGTGCTTTCCTGAGTTTTCCTTCCTGACAAGGATTCCCAGCATGAGAGATGATAGAAGGGGGTGGAGTGTGGGGTGGGGACTGTCCCTGAGCAGCCAGTGTAACGCCAAGAAAGGCCCCTGTACATCTCAGGGTCTTGGGACTTCTCCGGAAGGTTCAGCTTCAGACCTGAGGTGGGCGGGGCAATGGGGGGTGGGGGCTAATGGGTGGGGATGGAGGAATTAGTTCCCATTGGCATGTTCCCCATCCCTGCTGCGTCCTTTGCACCTGGAGGCAGCTGCAGACAGGAAAACCCCCCTTAGGTGGCAGGCCACCCCAGCAGAGACCACTGGATTCATCCAGCCAGTGTTTCTAGTGAGAAGTCACCCAGAGCAGCTTTGAATCCAGGCTCTGCCACCTACCAGCTGTGTGATGCCAGAGCCCCCACATGCCCACCTATGAAATGCGGCTGAGAGGACAAGACCCACCTCTCAGGGCTGCTGTGAGGCCCTGAGTCCAGCATGGAGCTGGTGGAGAGGGCCGCACCCTTGGCAGCAGGGTTGCGGGACCCGCAGGGGAAAGGCCCCGCCCCCGCTCTAATGGCCTTGCTTGGTTGTCCCCCTAGCGCGCACTTCTTCCTGGAGATTGAAGGGTTTGAGCCCAACCCCACAGTCGCCAAGACCTCTCCCCCCATCTTCTCCAAGCCGATGGATTCCAACATCCGGCAGTGGTGAGTACCACCCGCTGCCCAGCCTCCTGCCCCGGCTGGCCCTCAGCTCCAGAGGAAGGCAGTGACTGGCCCTAGCCACATGGCCGGGCCTGGCTGTGGCGTGCTAACATGGTTCGTCTTTAAAGTCACCCCCTTTCCTTCTCTTCCCTCTCCCCTCCAGCCTCTCTGGCAACTGTGATGACATGGACTCCCCGCAATCCCCTCAGGATGATGCGACAGAGACCCCATCCAATCCCAACAGCCCCAGGTGAGCCTGCCCTTCCCCTCCTCCCAGTGTCCACCAGGCAGATGCCAGGAGGACAGGCACTGGAACCCTGAAGGAAAGAGAAAAAAGCCACCATTCTTGGGGCCAGGGACAAATGCCTGGGCCCATGGCTGTGATGTGTAGGAAATTTATTGGGGGAGGGGAGTGTTACACTTGATAAGCTGTAAAAGTAATACCCATCCATTACAGCAGGCAGCGCAAGGGGAACTTCATGCAATACCATGTATGCAAATTTAAAATGCATGGTCTGCCTATGGCCTGGAGGATGGTGGTGAAACACCAAACAAGTGTACGTTTTGCAAGAACACACACACACACAAAGGATACCCGTCAACGAGTTACCATGGTTGCCTATTTGGAGTGTGGGGGCGGGGAGGGGTAGATAAAAACATTCAAACAACACAAAATATGAAAATGAAATGTTCCTTCCCCTAATCCCATACTTTCAAGGTATTTACAGGTACCCTTCCTAGTCATTACTGTGTGTTTCCAAATACGCATTTTGATAAATGTGGTTGCATTTGGATTAGAAGGGGAGACTGCGTAGATGCCTTGGATCCCAGGGGCCTGGAGTGCGAATGGAGGGGTTACCAGGCACTGTGACAGCACGCGGAGATGTTGGGGGTGCAGTTGGGGGTGTAGGCACGGCAGCTCTGGTGGGAAACGAGGAGAGGGTAGGGGTGGGGGTGCACGTGTGGTGAGTTGGAAACCTTTTCTGGCCTCAGTGCAAACCTGGCCAAAGAAGAGCAGAGGCGGAAAAAGAAGCGGCTGAAGAAGTGCCTCTTTGCGGCTGTGTCCGAGGGCTGCGTGGAGGAGCTGGTGCAGCTGCTGGTGGAGCTGCAGGAGCTTTGCAAGAGGCGCCGCAACCTGGACGTGCCCGGTCAGTGCCAGGCCCTGGCAGAGGGTGCGGGGCTGGGGTCCCTGCTTGGCTCCTGCTGTCCACCTTCCCTCCCACCGTCCCGTGGGGCTGGCGTGTGAGGAGCCTTGAGTGCTGTGTTAGGGACTTTGAACCTGACTCTGAGGGCAATGGGGAGCCATGGAGGGGCTTAGACAGGTGAGGGTCATGGTCTGGCTACTGCCTGGAGGATGGGGGTGAAGCTGGAGGAGGCTGCTGTCCAGGTGGAGTTAGGACCCCAGCGGAGGGCTGAGGGAGGGGAACAGCATTTGGGCAGCGACGCTGGCAGGACTCAAAGATGTGGACAGTGAGGGAGAGGAAGGAGTCGGGTGGTGCCATTGGTGACTTGGTGGATGGTGCAGCCCAAGCTGTCTAGGGGACTAGGGGAGTAGCAGTTTAGGGCGAGTCGTTGAGCTCTATTTGTAGGCTACCAGGAGCGGCAGGCTGGAGACTTCAGGATGTTTGTCTACTTCTAGACAGTGGGAAGCCATGGGTACTGGTAAGATTGCCTCCTGCCAGGGAGAGGGTGAAGAAGCCAAAGAATGAAAGATGAGGCTCTCCTGGGCCTCTGGGAAGGAGGAGCCAGCAAAGGAGCTGGAGAGTGGGGTGTGTAGGCTCCGGGAGGCTAGCAGGGGCCATGCACAAGGTCTAGAGGTCTGAGGCTGCTTCTCCTACACCCTGGGCTCCCCTCCTATGGGCCCCTCCTGCAGCTCCACCCTGTGATCTTGCCTGCAGACTTCCTCATGCACAAGCTGACGGCCTCAGACACAGGGAAGACCTGCCTGATGAAGGCCTTGCTGAACATCAACCCCAACACCAAGGAGATCGTGCGGATCCTGCTCGCCTTTGCCGATGAGAACGACATTCTGGACAGGTTCATCAACGCCGAGTATACCGAGGAGGCCTACGAAGGTACCTGCCTGGGGGAGGGGTGTGCAGACAGTGGGTGACGGCCAGGCCACACAGATCATTGAAAGCCCAAAGCACATGGCGTGGCACTCGGCACTCTTCCTTCCTTCATTTGGCAAATAATTTTGAGCACCGACCACATGCCAGGCATTGTTTTTGGCACCGGGGTGCAGTGGCGAACATGACAGATGAAGGCCATGGCTCTACAGAAGGTAATTTTATATGGAAAATGCTTTGAAAATAAAATGAAAGAGGTTAATGTGACCGAAAGTAACTGGGGATGGGCAACTTTAGGGCGGATGGTCAGAGAGGTGACCTTTGACCCGAGGTCTGTCCGATGAGAGGGATCCAGACCAAGGCAAGGGCACTGGCTCGAGATAGGAAGGAACTAGGTACATTGGAGTGATGGAGAAAGAAAGCTGGAGATGAGGTTAGAGAGCTGGGCGGGGCCAACACATGGCAACTATTAGTATCATCACTGTCATTATTATCAACTGCCCCAGTTGGGTCTCAATTTTGTGGTTTCTCTCTCAGATGGACCAGGGAGGAACAAGGAGACCCCCTGGGGCAGTGTTTCCTTGCCCAGGAAATATGTTGTGAATAATCAGTAAGGTGGATCCTCATTTGAATCTTTGGAGTCAGTAAACATCCCGTTAGGATCTAATGAGATGCTTGTGGCAAAAATGTTGGGCTCAAGGATTACGGATGCTGCCTTACTGATATGCCAGGGGCACGAAACGTCTCAGCTTTTTGCAGGTGGGAGTCTAGGTTGGGCCCTTACCTTTTCTCATGGGATAAAGTCATTATTTATTTATTTATTTAAACTCTGCACAGTTTCATAAGAGTTTTTGTTACATAAAAAAAGTCAAGGATTATGAAAAACTAAAAGCTATCAATTTGGAAGAGAGGAAAGTCAGGGAATATTGTTGCAACTGAGTGCAGAACTGCACATTGAGTTCCCTGGTAGCCACAGCAAAGAGAGAAAGGGAATGCGCTATATAATGTTTCAGCCTGTCACTAGGGAGTTGATACTAGCCCTGTAGCCAAGGAGGGTTAGGCCAGTGCCTCAAGCTTCTCTGTCCTGAATCGTCTCCCTTTTCAGGCCCTCTTTTCTTCTTGTCAGTCTTGTAGGGACGTACAGACTCCTACTTCTAGCAGCATGTTCTCCTTGAGGGCAGGGATGGACTTTGCCTTCCCCATAGTGGATCCTCTGATGCCCTTGGGGTCTCACATCAGAGGTCCTTGATAAATACGTTTTGAATGAGTGACTACATGAAGATTAGTTTCTCTATTAAGGCTTTGCTGTCCTGGCTGCAAATCCTGCCTCTCTCCTTTCTCAGCCTCCCCTTGTCCTTTCCTTCTGTCGCGAATCTATGTCTTGCTGGTGGGTTGGTGGGGGGCTGTGGGCACCCAGTCTTTCTCTGCATGGTGGGAAGAACCATTTACCCCTGTCTTCCCAGACACAACCCTCTCCCCTACTCTTCCTCCTGATGGTAGCTGCTGATACCTTCCCTCCCCTGTTCTAGGCACTTCTTGCATCAGGGACTGCAACAGTAGCACTTTTCCTTACCTTGGGCATCAACTGGCCTTTCTGAGCCGCAGTTTCCCCATCTGGCAGAGGCTGATATTTCCTCTCTATACTGCTAAGAGGATACAATGACATCTTTTAAAATATTATTTTTAGCATTTTATCAGAGGCCTTCAGGGACTTACTTTTTAAAAAACGATTTAATTAAATTTTTTATTGAAAAATTTAAGCATACTTTTGAAATATTAGCATAATGAACCTCTAGATATTCATCAGTGAGATTCAGCATAGCAATTTATTTTTAATTGCATAAATAGTACGTGAATAGAATTTCATTGTAAAACATTCGAATATTTTAATTAAGTTAAAGAGGAACGCTTTGCTTGTTTCTCACTCTCTTCTCCAGAGATGATTAGTATGGGGTGTATGCTTTGAGGACGTTCCTAGGTTTTTGACATATGTGTGTATGTGCACATACAAATAGATAACTATTTATTCATTTATCTACTTATTTAACGCAGAGCAGTGATAAATAAGTTGTACTGTTCTACAACTTACTTTTTTGGGGGTTAACTATACATCTTTGACACCTTCTCATGCCAGAATATGAAAGTCTGCCTCCTCTTTACCTGCTTAGTCTGAGTATAACTGTATTGTGGCTAATTTCACCCTTTTCCCGTGGACAGACATCCAGGTCGTTTCCAATATTTTGTTATGAGAACGTCTCGATGCACACTCTTCTCTATGACCTGTGCACAGCGAACACGAGTTTTAGGGAAAGACTGTGAACTGGCCTTTCTGGGTCCAGAGGCATTCACATTAAAATTAGAATGGTTACTGCCCTGGCCAGTGTGGCTCAATTGATTGGGTGTCATCCTGTGCACTGAAAGGTTACTGGCTCGACTTCTAGTCAGGGCACATGCTTGAGTTTCGGGCTCGATCCCTGGTAAAGGGCGTGCAGAAGGCAGCCAATCTATGTTTTGCTCTCACACGAATGTTTCTATCTCTCTCGCCCTCTCCCTTCCTCTCTCTCTAAAAAAAAAAAAAAAAAAAAAATTAGAATACTTGACAAATTTGACACCAAAAAGTATTACTCTCTCCTCACAAAAGAATACAAAGGTTCTCCTTCTCCATACTCTTCACTAATCCTTTTTTAAAAAGTCTTTAACGCATTAGGCTCAAATAGAATTCATTAGGTTCAAATTTTCATTTTCCTGATTACCAGTGATTCTGAATATCTTTCAGTTTCTTTATTGCCTATGTGTATTTTCTTCTCTGAGGGGTTCTTAATATTCTTTTCTTGTTTCCTTTTAGGTTGTTTGTCTTTTTATTGATTTGCAGAGCTCTTATTATGGACTTTAAAAAAATACATGGTCTCTTTTATATGTCTCAAATATTTTCCCTGGCCTACCAGTTGCCTTTCAACTTTCTTTAAGATGTCTTTCAAAATACAGAAACATTTAATTTTTATGTAAGCAAACATGTCAGTTTTTTATTTATGGTTTCTGCATTTTGGATCTTGCTTAAGAAGGTTTTCTGTACCAATGGGTTAGTTATAAACAAATTTTCCAATTTAAAAAAAAAAAAAGCTTAGTTCTTTAACCCACCAGGAATTTATTTTTATGTACGGCAAGACAGCAGCTCTTTGGGAAATGCTGTTTCTGGTGGGACATTCTGAGATACAGCGCGCACACACACACACACACACACACACACACACACACACACGAGGGTTCTGAAGGCTCTACCAACAGGGTTAATGTCCCTTCTCCACCTCCCTGCTCCTGAGCCCTGTTCCCTTCCTCAGTCACCAGCACCAGTCACCCAGCTCCCAGGCCAGACACCCGGACCTAACCTGAGACACCCCTTCGTCCCCAAGCCCCACAGACCACCTGAGGGCTCTTTCTCTTAGGGTTCTTGGCTCCACCGAGCAGAGTTCCACATAAGTCTGGGATCTTGTTAAGACCTCCTCCAGTTTTGCAGCCAGAGTGGTCTAAAAATGCACACGTCCTAAACCCCAAACTCGGGTCATGTCACTTCCCTGCTTCCACACCTGCTGACTCCCCTGGCCCTTAGGCTCAGGTTCTAAGGGTCACCCGGCTTAGCAGGCCTTGAGCTGGCCCCACCAGCCTTGCTAAACTCACCCGATGGGCCTACAGGCCACTCTGGGAAGGCCCTCAGCGCGGGGACTGGAGGCAGAGCCCCTGCCCCGGTCCTGGAGCGCCCCCTCCTGGGTGGTAGCGAGACTGTGCTGCCGCGGAACGAGAAGCAAAACTGCATCCCGCGGGCACTGTGCCCCCAGCTGGCGACACCAACACCAGACAGGCGGCTTACTTCGCCACAGTTCCGTGGAGGGTGGGAAGGAGGCCAGGCAGGGTGTCACCAGGGTCTCAGCCGCTGAGCGCCCCCCGACCCCCACCCCACCCCACCCTGTCCGCAGGGCAGACGGCGCTGAATATCGCCATCGAGCGGCGGCAGCGAGACATCACAGCGCTGCTCATCGCGGCCGGCGCCGACGTCAACGCCCACGCCAAGGGGGTCTTCTTCAACCCCAAGTACCAGCACGAGGGCTTCTACTTCGGTGGGTGCCGCCGCCGGGCTGGGGCTGGGGCTTGGGGTCCGGAAGGAGGGCGGAGGGAGAGGCGCTAGGGGCTGGGGGCTGGAGGCCGGCTCTGAGCTGTCCCGAGAGCAGAACCTGGTCCAGAGTGGGGGCAGGGGCGACCCTTCTGAATTGGGCCAGAGAGGGCGGGCTGGGAGGTGGCGAGCCTGCAGTCGGGGAGAGTCTAAGAAGGCACCCCGGGGAGGGAGAGCAAGCAGATCCCTGGGTCCCAGGCGCAGAGAAGGCTCTGGGCGGGGGAATGAGCTGCCCAGGGTAGGAGGACTGGTGTGGGCGTCCTGGCTGCCCGCTCAGCCTCTGTGCCCTGTGCTCAGTCCTCAGGACTGCAAGCGGAGTCAACAGTGAGAGTATGAAAAATTCTCCCACTGTCCACAAATGCATACCGCCAGGCTAGCGCCGGAAACAAACAGCTCCGTCACACCAAGAATTGTCCTGGTACAATTGTCCTGTAGTCAACCTTGCTTCTCACCCCACCCAGCCCTGACTGACTGACAACCACTGACCTGTTTCCTCTTCTGGGTGGTTCCTGCATCAGCCGGGCTAGATGGGTCTGGGTGGCCTTGAGGGCAGGTCTTGTCCAGTCCGTTGCCCAGTATCAGGTCTGGCTGACGCCGGTGTTGGGGAACATTTGGGGGGTGGGATGAAGAAAGGGGACAGGACGGAGTTTGGGAGGTGAGCCGCAGGAGACCTGCTATCCCGCCCTGGTTCTGCCCCGGGCTTGCGGTGTGACCAGGTGTGAGTCACCTGCCTTCGTTCTTGAATATTTCTCGAGCACTCACTGTACAGAAGGTACTGTTCTAGGTGTTTGAAATGTATCAGTGAGCAAAACTAAGGTCCCTCCCCTCATGGAACTTACATTCTAGATGGGAAAGAGAACATCAATAATAAACACAGTAAATAACGTTAATTAACATGTTAGAATATGATAAATGCCATCGAAAAATAACAAGTAAAGCAGGAGAAGTGGAAACCGAGTTCTAGGGCAGGAAGGAGGTGGATTTCAATTTTATTTATTTATTTTTATGATTTCAGAGAGGAAGGGAGGGGGAAAGAGATGAGAGAGAATCATTGATTGGCTGCCTCCTGCACATCCCCTACTAGGGATCAAGCCTGCAACCCAGGCATGTGCCCTTGACTGGAATCGAACCCGGGACCCTTTAGTCTGCAGGCTGATGTTCTAGCCATTGAGCCAAACCAGCTAGGGCGAGTTCAATTTTAAATAGGACAGTTAGGGTGACTCATTGAAAAGGTGACATTTGAACAAGGACTTGAAGGAAGTGAGGGAGGGAGTGATGCAGATATCTGAGAAACAGCATTAAAGGTAGAGAGAACAGCCTGTGCAAAGGCCCTGAGGTAGGAAAATGCCTGGTGTGTTTAATAAAAGGGGTTATTGCAATGATCTAGCTTCAGTTTCTTCCCATCCAAGGGGAGCTGGGGAGAGGGACAGGAAGCCTCAGGGGTCGATCCTACTGAGCTGGTCAGGATATGGGCTTCAGTCCTGGGACCTGGGGAACACCACTCTGTTCCATGAGAGAACTGAGCCCCAGTGTTCTCCCTCCCCCAGGCGAGACACCCCTTGCCTTGGCAGCATGTACCAACCAGCCCGAGATCGTGCAGCTGCTGATGGAGAACGAGCAGACAGACATCACCTCGCAGGACTCACGGGGCAACAACATCCTACATGCGCTGGTGACGGTGGCCGAAGACTTTAAGACACAGAATGACTTCGTTAAGCGCATGTATGACATGATCTTGCTGAGGAGTGGCAACTGGGAGCTGGAGACCATGCGCAACAATGACGGCCTCACCCCGCTGCAGCTGGCCGCCAAGATGGGCAAGGCCGAGGTGGGGCTTGGGGGCAGGTGGGAGGGTAGGAGGCACTCTACCATCCGCCAGCCTGGGGCCCCGTAGGCCACACCTTGGCAGGGGAACTTCTTAGGTTCGGAAGTACAATTGTGGCCCGAGCTGGGTTCGTTCTGATGACCACCCAGAGCCACTGAGATGCAGTGCGCGGGCCCACCCTCTGGAGTTCAGTCCCTCATACTCCATGCTTCTTCTATCTCCTGCTCTGGGAGCCCCCTCTCTGGGGCCAGCGTGGGGGAGCCTCAAGGCTGTAGGACACAATATCAGATGCCTGTGGCTGAGGATTCCTGGGTGGCAGGTGCTGAGTGTGGCTGAGTGTCTGACCCTTGGGGGCCTTCAGCCTCTCAGGAGGACGGGAGCCCCAGAATGGCTGCTCTGGGTCCAGAGCCAATGGGCTGCTAGTCCCGCTCTGGAGACATCCCAGCCTGTCCCTCAGGTTGAAACTCAGAGCCAAGAGCCCAGCAGAGCACGTGACTGCTCTGGCCTTTGTGCTCGTGATGCGGCCGTGAAACTCGAGGCTTGCCCGGGAGCCTTGGTGGAGCCCCGAGCTGGGGCGGGCTCACATCTCCTGGTGCCTGGAGCCACGCTTGGTCTGAGATCAAGGTGGGGGGTGGGGAGCGGGTGCCCCGAGGGCCGTGGGTCCTGGTGCAGTGGTCAGGGCTGGTCCCACAAGGGACCTTTTCATTGTCTTGTTGGGGGAGGAGGGAATGGAGAACAGCTTTGACAAAGGAGGAATTGTGTCTTTCCCCCCTCTCCCCTTCCCTCCCACCCCCCCCGCTTCCTCTGTTTCTGTGCTTAAGACACAGACACTGACTTTGGGGAGACCTGTCCTGTCCCTAGTGAAGCAGGGGTCTCTCGGGGGTGAGGACGACGGAGCCCCAACACACTAGGGCGTCTGCATGCACGACTCCGGGGACCAGGTTCAGTGACGCAGATCCATTTTATTGTGAAACTACAGGGGTATATATAGCATGAGGGGACCTATCAGAGGGAGACACGTTGCTATAGGCAACCAATGGCTGAAAGTCTGGGGCACTGTGCATGTGGCTCTAGGAGTTAGTTCAGGCGGGTTGCTACTTCCTGGTGTGCCGAGGAAGCATGTCATGGTGGAGTGTGCTCACACCATTGCATCAGCCACAGCGCTGAGACATACTTCCCGAGCTCTACTACACCTAGGAGCTCTCTGCCTGGGCTGTGCAGACAAGGCTCCCGCGTGAGATGAGATGGGAACCCCACTGTCTCACGTGAGATCAGGGCTCTGACACTGTCCTCTTTAACAGGTCCCTCCTCCTGGGCCTTGGGTTGGTGCCTTGGGAAGCCCTGGCCCCCAGGGTACTAGGGTACCCCTAAAACTCAGCTTTTGGGGAGTAGTGAGCTGGAGAGCAGGCTACCCATCTGGCCTGCCCTTTGGAACCACCCAGGAAGCTTTACAAGCTACAGATGCCTGGGCTTCCTCCAGAGATTTGGATTGAGTCAGTCAGCAGTGTGGGACTATGTATGTATTTGTTTATTTACTAGAGGCCTGATGCACGAAATTCATGCAAGAGTAGGCCTTCCTTCCCCCGGCTGTGGGCACCAGCTTCCTTCCGGCACCTGGGACCCGGGCTTCCCTGGTAGAGGGAGGCCCTGCCCACCTGCTGCACCCCTTGGGTCAGTGGCCTGGGCCTCCCTCTGTGGGCGATCATGGGGCAATGGCCAGGCCCCCAACCAATCATATTGCGCCTGCCTTGGCTGGCCTGGCGCCAGTGGGTGTCATAGTGTGGTCCCGGATGGTTGTCTGGATGGTCGATTTGCATATTATGCTTTTATTATATAGGTTTTTGGAGAGAGTGGGAGGGGGAGAGACAGAGAGAGAGAAACATCAATGTGAGAGAGACACATTGATTGGGAGCCTCCCAACCGGGCCAGGGATTGAGCCTGCAACTGAGGTATGTGCCCTCGACCGGAATCGAACCCGGGACCCTTCAGTCCTCAGGCCGATGCTCTATCCACTGAGCTAAACCAGCCAGGGTGGAGTGGGACTTTTTAATGTTCCCCAGTGACCTAATATGCAGCAGAGTTTGAGGATCACTGACTTAGAGGGGGTACCCCGCCTTTCTGTAAGGCTGGTGTCTTGCATCTCCATGTGTCTGACCAGAGCAGAGAGCCTCAGCTGGCAGGTCTTGATTGAGGGTGGGATGGGGAAGCTGGAAAAACTTCTCGTTTCTTCTCAGATCCAGGCCAAACAGAAATTATCTCTCATAATTGTCAGTTCTCAGATTCTTCACTGAACTGGGTTTTAAGAGCCTCTTTCTGGCTCTCTGGGCCCCAAGCTCCATCCTGTGGCTGACAGTTGTCCCACTTCCTGTCCCCAGATCCTGAAGTACATCCTCAGTCGTGAGATCAAGGAGAAGCGACTCCGGAGCTTGTCCAGGAAGTTCACCGACTGGGCATATGGGCCCGTATCATCCTCGCTCTATGACCTCACCAACGTAGATACCACAACAGACAACTCGGTGCTGGAAATCATTGTCTACAATACCAACATTGATGTGGGTCTCCCAGGGGGCTGGGGAAGGGCATGGGGGGAGGGTGGGCTCTGGGCACACTGGGAAGACCAGTAGCTGGACATGTCTGCAATCCCCCACTTCTTTACCTTATGGACAGAATTGGCACAATATGGCAGGGCCTGTGTGGGGTTCACTTGTTCCCAGGGTTCCTTGGGTGAGGGTTTCCTGGCCCCAGAATCCTGGGCAGTGTGGATATGGTGGTGGGAGTAGGGAGGTTGGTGTTGATCTTCTCCTCCACCACCCTACTCATTCTCTATGGCCGTGCTTAGAATTCCTTTTTCCCCCAAACCTGGCCCCAAGTGAGGGACAGGGAGTGCATGGTTGCAGCAATCAGGGAGGCCTCCCTGGAGGAGGCAAGAAGGGGCGGTGAGGGGAAGAGAGAGGATCAGCAGTGAGAAGTTTTTGGCTTTGGGGGGACATGAAGCAGCAGACTGGATCTTCACTCTTTACATTTTATCAAGAATCATGCTTCCCAGAGCTTGCCTTGTCTGGGTTCTTCATGGACCTTCCAGGCAGCCTAGAGGGCAGGGCAGTTTGATTGATGTCAGTTGTATAGATGAGGAGGTGCAGGACCAGAGAGGCTCGGGAGCTTTCCTAAGGTTACACAGTGAAGAGGGGCTAAGTTGGAGCCAGACCCCCAGTCACACTCCTTCTCCCTCCCAGCCCTTGCTTCCCACGGAGCAGCAGGTGCTCCTGCTGGGAGCCCAGCTCCTGTGGCATTTGGCTGCCGCCTGGGCCCACTGGCAAGGAGCCCCGGGAGCTGGAAATTACTCTCCTGACATTTCCTGCCGAACCAGCCCATTGGACGTAATGACTGCCCCCTGCAGGGCAGCGCTGTCTCAGCACTTCCTTTGAAATGGGGGCCTTTGACTGTGGTTCCTCTCCCCGCCTCCGTGGTGACGGTGGTGTGTACCCCCAGAACCGGCACGAGATGCTGACCCTGGAGCCCCTGCACACGCTGCTGCGTATAAAGTGGAAGAAGTTTGCCAAGTACATGTTCTTCCTGTCCTTCTTCTTTTATTTCTTCTACAACATCACCCTGACGCTCATCTCTTACTACCGACCCCGGGAGGAGGAGGTACGTGGGCCCCTTGATCAGGGGTGGGGTGGGTAATGGGGTGGTCAGGGCTGCAGGAGCTTGGAGCCGTCCTGTGTGCAGATGGGGAAACGGAGGCTCAGAGAGACCGAGATTTTCCTCGGCTTCCCTAATTGTTGTCCCTCACGTTTCTAGGGAACCGAATATGTCTCCGGAGCTTAGCTGGGCTAAGCCCCAGGTGCTCAGCCTCAGGCTGACCCATGTTGGGAGGAGAACTAGAGAATTAGGAGACCCAGAGCCCAGGCTCTGTCTAAATCTAGAGCTAATTGTGTGTTTCTGATGTGAGGGCCACAGGATATGGGAGTGGGACAGTGAGGGGGCCTTAGTTTCCATGCATTTCCCGGGCACAGAGTTTCAGCTTTATTTGAGGACTGTGATGAGATCCTGTGAGTGTCCTGTGAGTGAATATGGATGGTTCCTGTAAGGAGGCCTGAGGGCTGTTAGCATGTTCCTGTGGAGATCTGGATTCCCAGCGTGGGTGGGGAAGGCAGGGGTGGGGGCTGCCATTCCTCCTCTAGCCCTGTACAGAGATCGGGCTCCCTGCTGGCTTCTGGCCCAGGCTGAGGGTTCTGCAAGGTCCCTCCAGAGCCGGCACTACCCCTGCCCTCCTCACCCCCCATCCTGCACCATCCATTCCTCCCCTTCTTCTCAGGCCCTGCCGCACCCCCTGGCCCTGACGCACAAGATGGGGTGGCTGCAGCTCCTGGGGAGGATGTTCGTGCTCATCTGGGCCATGTGCATTTCTGTGAAGGAGGTGAGTGGGCCGCTAGACCCTCCGGACTGGCCTGCGATGCAGGCAGGTGACAGCAGGCTTGGTTTTGATCCCACCCTGCTCGGCCATTACTGCTGGGGGCTCTGGGGAGCCATTCCCCTTCTAAGCTTCAGATTTCTTAGTTACAAAGTGGAAATAAATAAGCAGGTCTATCTTACCTACTTCATCTAAGTACCCCTCCATCCATCTGTCCTTCTATTTGCCATTTATCCACCCATCCCAGCCACTCAGTAACCCATCTTCCTCTCCTCTCTGTCCGCCCATTCAATCACCTGCCCTCTCTCAGCGACCCAGCCACTCATTCATCCATCTGAATACCCATTCATCCTTACCCTCATCCTTCCATCCTTCCATCTATTTATCAGTTGATCACTTGATTGGTCCATCCATCCATCCATCCATCCATCCATCCATCCATCCAATGAGTCAACAGGTAGATTTGGAACATCATCTCATGTGGGGCCCTGGGGGAGGTGGTAAGGAGGGAAAGTTGTCCTCTTTGAGCTCACAGTCCGGTAGGGGATTTCAGAGGGACCAAACTTCTAGACTTTGCGATAGACTGTGAAAAGGCCCTCCATTGGGTTCAGACCAGTGCTCAGAGGAAAAGAGATGACCTTTACTGGGGGCAGGGGAAGGAGGGAAGGCTTGAGTGCAGAGATGGCACTTACCGTGGTAGGAGTGGGCCTGAGGACATGGGGGAGAAGGCCATTACTGAGCGGGCGTGGGGAACAGTATGAACTAAGGCTCCAAGGTGGAAGCTAGACTATACAGGGGCGGGCAAATGTAGGACCACAGTTGTGAGTACTTGAAACACAGCTGATTCTTGTATCATTATTTATTGATTATTGTATTCTTTATTATTATTCTCCTACTTTTGCCATCCCTGTATTTGGGGGATGGCAGGTAGCTACATGTTGTGCTGCCTTGCAGGTTCTGGGGTGAGCGTGAGGGTGAGGGTGAGAGTGAGAGATACACAAAGATCGGAGGAGCCTGCACCTGGGCTCACCTGTCCTCCAGCCACAGGGCCCCTCAGTAGCCCCCACCTGGGCTCTGGCTGGGCCTTCACACACTGAGTCTCAGTCCTGGGGAGACACCCCCTTCCTCAGACCCCCCACTGAGAGGCAGGAGGAGGCTGAAGCCTTTCTTTGCTTTCTGGCCTCAGGGCATCGCGATCTTCCTGCTGAGACCCTCAGATCTGCAGTCCATCCTCTCGGATGCCTGGTTTCACTTTGTCTTGTAAGTAGGTCCGTCCCCTCCGTCGCCACCTCACAGGCAGGGCTGAGGTCCTATCTGGTGGTTGCTGTGTCCCTCTGAAACAATTGCCCTACTGTGCCACCCTGTCCCAGCCATTCTGCTATACCCCCGTGGTGAGGGGCCGCCTCTCTCACTTCTGGTAAGAGAGACACATAGATGCCCAGAGAGAGGCCCAGAAAACAAGAGGACAGTGCCCATCATCTGGCTGCAGAGATGGTGACTCCACCCTGCCACAGAGCCCCAGGCGGCAGGCAGCTGGGAGACGCTCAGCCCTGCTGTTTACCTTCTTGTGGAGGCTTCCAGCCCAGTGCCTCCAAGTTGCATGGGGCCTAGACGTACCATCTTGTACCCTGGCAGATGGGAGCTGGAAAGTATTTGAGGATCATTGAGTCTCACCTGCTGGTATGGAAACTGAGGCCCAGAGCAGGGAAGTGAGTCCCTCACAGTCACTCGGAAGCCAGTCCCAGCTTCTCCATCATCTTCTCCTCATGCCAGTGCAGGCTTGGCTACCATTGGGCTCTTGCCAGAAAGCCTAGCCCAGACCTGTCTGAAGGAGGTCGTGTGCGGCTGACCTCAGAGGTCCTGTCTCTGATTGAGCAGAGGCTGATTAAACCTGCAGCGAGCATTGAAGAATGTTGGCTTCCTCACTGCGCGGATGCCCCTGAAGTTCCTGCTCTGAGTTCTTCGGGACGGTGGGTCTATAGGACCTGGAAGCTTGGCCCGATGTTTCCAACTGCCTAGGTGTTTCATTCAGGATGTACCTGCCTGCCAGAGGCGTGAACCGGATTCTCCATCCCTGTGGGCAGGTGGGGCCCCCAGACACTGCAGTGAAGGATGGCCGGGGGGCGGCGCTGCCCCCCCCACCCCCATGCAAGTCACATGAGAGTTTGTCCCCTTTGGAAAGTATGGTGATTCCAGAGAAAAACCATTTAGGCAGCCAATGGTGCCAGTGCAGACAAAAGGCACCAGTGCATGGCCATGCTTTTCTGCTTGTTGGTTGTTTTGTTAGCGTAGGCAAAGGTGTGGATGTGCTTCCTCCCTTCAGCGCCAAAGGCACCACCCATCACCCAAACACTTGCTTTTCACTGCACGAGAAAAACAAGGCTGCCCGTGTCCTAGCTTTAACCGGTCATTTTCCAACGGTGCGGACTGATGTTCTAAGCGAGAGAAGGCTTTTACCCAGATGTCCGAGTTACTGATGGTGCACACTGCTTAGGAGTGGGCTTTGCTCTTGTACATTTGGGATATGTGATGCTTCAAACATTTTACGTTGTGGGACAATACACATAGCATAAAAGTTACCACCTTAACCATTTTTGAGTGACCACACGCTGTGCAGCCAATCTCTAGATTTCTTTTCATCTGGCAAAACTGACACTACACGCATTAAACAACAGCTCCCCATTGCCCTCCCCCAGTCCTTGGTGACCTCCATTCTACTTTCTGTCTCTATGGATGTGACCACCCTAAGGACATCGTATCAGTGAAATCACACAGTATTTATTTTTTTGTGACTGGCTTATTTCACTTAGCATAATCATCTCCAGGTTGGTCCATGCTGTTAAAGAAAAAAAAAAAAGTAGGTTTGAGGATACGTTTGTTATGATTGGCTTATAAGTATAGATGTTGTCAGCTTTTATCATTTTGATTATAAATGCAATTATCCATTGCACCCTTTCGCTATGAATCTGTGTGAGGATCATAGAGGGGTTTAACAAAGAAATCATGTGGTGGTTTCGACACGTACAGCCTCCGGGGCTGCTCTCCAGGTCTTCTGAACCAGGGTCTGGTGGGGCCTGGGGGATCTGTGCTTTTAAAAGTCCGTCGCTCCAGCCCCCGCTGGCCCCACACTGCCCAGTCTGACGGGTCTGGGCAGCCTTATCCATCTCCTCAGCATCAGCCCCCAGGGTGCCGGTTCAGGGTTTAAAGGGAGGTGGGGGGGTTGCCTACCTGCCCTGATGCTGAGCAGTAAGTAAGGCCCTTGTCTCCTGTGTCTCCTGAACAGTTTTGTCCAGGCTGTGCTTGTGATACTGTCTGTCTTCTTGTACTTGTTTGCCTACAAAGAGTACCTTGCCTGCCTCGTGCTGGCCATGGCCCTGGGCTGGGCGAACATGCTCTACTACACGCGGGGGTTCCAGTCCATGGGCATGTACAGCGTCATGATCCAGAAGGTTCGTCTGGGGCCTCCGAGGGTCAGAGATGTGCAGGCTGGGAGGGCCCTCAGAGGATGGTCGCTCCTCAGATGGGGACACTGAGGCCTAGAGAGCAAAGGGGGCTTGCCCACGGGCAGACTGCTGCTCTCTATTCTGGATGCCACCGTCTCCATTTGCCTTTGGTCAGCTGTAAGTGTCCAGATCCTAAAACGCCTGGGCTTGCTGGGCATTGAGAAGGGATGCACTTTGGGAAGGAATGTGCTCAGCTCCAGGCAGGGGTGTGCTGGTAAGTATTTAACAGCTGGCTCTCTGGGAGACACACACACACACAGACACACAGACACACACACATACACACACAGACACATACACAGACACATACACACACAGACACACAGACACATACACACATACACACACAGACACATACACACACAGAGAGACACACATACACATACACACACAGACACACACACAGACACATACACACACAGATACATATACACACACAGACACATACAGACACATACACAGACACATACACACACAGAGAGACACACAGACACATACACACACAGACACACACACGCAGATACATAGATGTTTATTATAAAATTTACTATTTAAAGGCTGTAGTACACAGTTTCCTTCCTAATAAAACATACAATACTCTCTATAGTAAATTCCACATAGCTAGTTGAGTCTCACTGAGTAGTTGTTGATTTTTGTTGAACGCCTCTATCTGTTGCTAACCAATGGTTTCAACTGACAAACGAGTGTTCTTCCAACACAAGTGTTGGTTGATATTTTTCTTTAAGGGATAACACGAAGGTGAAAATGAAGACATGGCGGAACTTCAGTTGTTTGTCAATGATGTGAGCCACTTCTTTGCTGAGTTGGATAATAGTGTTCAAATACTAGAAGACGATTTCATTATCATTGTCTTATTCCCAATGTGGCAGCTCCAGATAGGACACGTTTTTAAGTTTAATTTGCTTTAACATTTTCTCCATTGCTGTCTTACATCTAGATCTAGGCAATCAACAAAACAATGGGTCAATCTCTGATTTATAGCATTTACCAATTTCTTTAAAAAATATATTTTTATTGATTTTAGAGAGAGGAAGGGAGAGGGAGAGAGGCATAGAAATATCAATGATGAGAGAGAATCATTGATCCGCTGCCTCCCACACACAATCGAGACTACAACCTGGACATGTGCCATGACCAGGGATCGAATCATGACTTCCTAGTTCATGAGTCGATGTGAAACCACTGAGCAACACCGGCCGGGCACATTTACCAATTTCTATGGTATAACTACTCCCACCCTAGCGGTTCCAGCTACCAACATGACCTCTTTGAACACGGAGCTGGGAAGAGATGCACAGTAACACTACTAATAGTATTTCCACCATATAGCTACAATAGATGTAAATAACCCTGAGAGCATAAATAACTCTAAAATGTAGTAAAATAACTAAGAAGTGATGAGTTTTGACTATTATCTCTATTTTTCATATAATATATTTACTTATAAGTTGATATGATTTAATTTGTATTAGTGGCCATGTTTAACAACCAGCTCACACAATTCAGGAAATGGTAGTAGTCAGCTCTGGTGAGCTGGTATGAGCTGGCTCCAGCACACCACTGCCCCAGGAAGAGGGAGGATCCCAGATGCGAGACTGTGAAGAGAGGTGCTCATGGACAGGGCGAATCCGCAGGGACAGAGGCCGACTGTCTTCCAGGAGGGAGCGGGGAGGAGGGAGGAGAGCAGGAGCAGGAGGCTTCTTGGAGAAGGTGGGGTCCACAGCTGAGCTTTGGAGCACCAGGGGGACGTGGCCAAGGGCAACGGAGAACGGCCTGAGTTGAGGCCATGGTTAGGGTGGGAGCCTGGGAGAGCGTGGGAAGCCGCGAGATCGGTGTACGGTTATTCCGTCCTCAGCTCTTACCTCAAATCATTCTTTTTTCTTTGTAGGTCATTTTGCATGATGTTCTGAAGTTCTTGTTTGTATATATCGTGTTCTTACTCGGATTCGGAGTAGGTAATCGATTTATAAATAATAGTAACTCCCACTTTTGTAAAGCACTTTATACAGATGTCAGAATGACAGAGCACATAGCAGCCTCAGCAGCAAGTACATCAGCTACCAACAGAGCCTGCTGTGCTTAGCATTTTCCAGTCATCATCTTCTTACTTCTCCCGCATCTCAGTCAAGGGGGAATCGTCATCCCTGATCATAAGGCGACTGAGGCTTAGACTCTAGGATTCGACCAGGCCCGTTACTCTTACCCATCCCCACTGTGGGGTATGCCTCCCACTTTCACATCCACCCATGTGACCCTCACAGCCTGAGAGAGGCCGGGCAGGTGTTTTGGGCCCCATTTTACAGATGGGGAAATGAACTCACAGAATCACAGGCCTTTGAAAACTAGGAGGGAAGTAATGAACTAAGGTAATCCCCGTTGGCCCTCCATTATGTTATCTCAGGGTTCGCTTCAGACAGACCTGGGAGGGCCTTTGGTCTGCTGGGGACCAGGGATGGGGAGCCTCCTCTTAAAACCTCTCCTTCTACAACAGATGGGAACAGCACAACCTGGTCCTATGGCTGACCTCTGCATGGGGAGATGAGGTTTTATGTTTCCATGCCGTTTTTTCCTCCCAGTGGTCATTGGCATTTGAAGTTAAGCATCTGTTTTCATCTGCCTGATACCCTTTCTGTGTCATAATTTGCCTATTTATTTGATCTTTCATTATCTTGTTTATTCATTCATCTATTTACTCACTCATTAATTTGACCATCCACCCACCCACCCACCCACCCACCCACCCAGCCATCCAGCCAGCAAAGAGCCACTGCTGTAGTGTGTTGGAAAGAAGAGAAGAAGGGGCGTCAGGCTTTGGCCAGGAGAATCTCACTACAGAGCATTGGGAGGACACTCAGGACCTCACAGTCTGGGGGAGATGACCTGGGCTACAGGAAGTCGGGAGCTCAAATCCTGGATGGGGAGCCAGGGCCACACAGAGATTATAATTAGCAACTCTGCAAGGCTGTGAGCGATCAAGGGCCGGACGGTAGGGCAAAGGAGGCACAGAAGGGTATGGGCTTTGTTAGGCAAGAAGGGCTTTCTGCAGCGAATTAGCCTGATGAGGCTTCTGGAAGAGCTGGGGCTGGAGATGGAACTGAAAGAGCCAGAGGAAGCCGGCAGGAGGCAGGCCTGCCGTGTGTGGGGGCGTGTGTGTACCTGCAAGTAGGCATGAGCTTGTTGGGTAATTAACCAGGCCCAGAGGCTGACGAGAGCACCCTGTGATGTCCTCCCAGCCCTGGCCTCGCTGATTGAGAAGTGTCCCAAGGACCACAAGGACTGCAGCTCCTATGGCAGCTTCAGCGATGCTGTGCTGGAACTCTTCAAACTCACCATAGGCCTGGGTGACCTGAACATCCAGCAGAACTCCAAGTACCCCATCCTCTTCCTGTTCCTGCTCATCACCTACGTCATCCTCACCTTCGTCCTCCTCCTCAACATGCTCATCGCCCTCATGGGAGAGACGGTTGAGAACGTCTCCAAGGAGAGTGAGCGCATCTGGCGCCTGCAGGTGAGCCTGGTGGAGACCCTGGTGTGGGAGCCTTCACGGGGACTCAGTTCACTACATGCTATTGGCCATCAGCACTTGGTGGACCTGGGGCGGGGCCTGGGAATCTGCATAAGGTCCCTGTGCTTGGCCAGGTTTGAGGAAGCATTTGCCTAGGTTCCTTGAGTATAGGGTCAACGGCAGGTGTGAGAGCAACTCAGGCTTATGGGGGTGCTCGGCTCAGAGTCATGGTGTGATATGTGGATGTTGAAATGTGACCTTAGGTTACATCAAGAGGAGTATAAGGGTATAGCACAATGGAGGTGTCAATTCTGCTCTCCTCCATCCTGGCCTCAACAGTCCTCACCTACGGTGGGCCTTCCATGCTGAGGACACCACTACAGTAATGGCCAGAGGTGGTGAGCAGGCTTTGCAGAGGCCGGGAAACCATGCCTTACAAGAAATGGCACTGAAGCTAGGCTTGACGAAGGTGATATCTCTTCAGGTACCTGCAGAGCTACTTTTGAAAGAGGGAGCAACTTCCCTCTATGACCCCAGAAGGCAGAACTGAAGTATATGGGGCAACTACAAGAAAAAAAAAGCTTTGATTTGACGCAAGGAAATTTCTAGTGACTAGGGCCTTCTTAATAGGCTTGTCAATAATATTTAGGAGCGATTGGACAAATTGTTGCCAGGAAAACTGCCGAGGGGATTCCAAGCCCGGGATGGAAATGGGACCACGTGACGCTGGCACTTCCCGTCACTGTGGGACCCAGGATCCTAACACTTTCAGTTAGGAAGCGCCTGGACTTGCAGAAACATTGTTTATGCCATGTTTAAAGCAATTTGGACATCTTCCCCAAGCTTTCTGGTTTTTCTTTTTCTTTTTTTTTTTTTTAAATTAAATCTTTATTGTTCAGATTATTACATTTGTTCCTCTTTTTTTTCCCACATAACTCCCCTCCTCCCAGTTCCCGCCCCACCCTCCGCCCTCACTCCCCACCCACTGTCCTCATCCATAGGTGCACGATTTTTGTCCAGTCTCTTCCCGCATCTCCCACACCCCTTTCCCCCCCAGGAATAGTCAGTCCATTCCCTTTCTATGTCCCTGATTCTATTATAATCAACAGTTCATTCTGTTCATCAGATTATTTATTCACTTGATTCTTAGATTCACTTGTTGATAGATGCATATTTGTTGTTCATAATTTGTATCTTTACCTTTTTCTTCCTCTTCCTCTTCTTAAAGGATACCTTTCAGCATTTCATAGAATACTGGTTTGGTGGTGATGAACTCTTTTAGCTTTTCCTTATCTGTGAAGCTCTTTATCTGACCTTCAATTCTGAATGATAGCTTTGCTGGATAAAGTAATCTTGGTTGTAGGTTCTTGGTATTCATCACTTTGAATATTTCTTGCCACTCCCTTCTGGCCTGCAAAGTTTCTGTTGAGAAATCAGCTGACAGTCATATGGGTATTCCCTTGTAGGTAACTGAGTTTCTTTCTCTTGCTGTTTTTAAGATTCTCTATCTTTTGCTCTTGGCATTTTAATTATGATGTGTCTTGGTGTGGTCCTCTTTGGATTCCTTTTGTTTGGGGTTCTCCGCGCTTCTTGGACCTGTAAGTCCATTTCTTTCACCAGGTGGGGGAAGTTTTCTGTCATTATTTCTTCAAATAGGTTTTCAATATCTTGCTCTCTCTCATCTTCTGGCACCCCTATAATTCTGATGTTGGTATGCTTGAAGCTGTCCCAGAGGCTCCTTACACTATCCTCGCATTTTTGGATTCTTTTTTCATTTTGCTTTTCCGGTTGGGTGTTTTTTGCTTCCTCGCATTTCAAATCATTGACTTGATTCTTGCGCTCCTCTGGTCTGCTGTCGGGAGTCTGTATAATATTCGTTATTTCAGTCCGTGTATGCTTAATTTCTAGTTGGTTCCCCAATATAAGATCGAGGGTCTCATTAGTTTTCTTGTAGATCTCATTAAGTTTATCGGCGGCTTCTAAACAGTTCTTGAGAGACCTTAAAAGTGTGGTTCTGAACTCTATATCTTCCATTGACAATTTTGTCCTGTTTCTTTGTCTCCGCATTTTGTTATGCTTCCTTGGTGCACCCCCTAGTGGTCTTTGTTCGCAGTCTTATAGTTAAATCTTGATTGTTGTAGCTAATTCCAGGGAGGGTTTGACCTCCAGGCCAAGTGGCTATGAGAATCAGCTGTGTCAGCAGTGAGAGAACTTCTGTCCTCTAGGAAGGTGCTAATCTAGCCTTTGCCTGAGGCTATCCGGCAAATGCCTGTGTGCAGGGCTTGGGCGGGGCGGGTCGAACAGGATCAACAGGGTGGGCCGGAGAGAGCAGCCATGGCGGCTCTCAGTCCTGTCTCCAGGGGCTCCGCCTCCCCGAGTCCCAGCACCTGCTGCAAAGCTCGGAGAGAAAGCTGCACTCGCTCTGACCGAAGCCAGACAGTCCCGCTTCTCCCGTTTGAGTCTGGGTCCCTAAAGACTCGCCCGGATCTGGAGCTCAGATTCTGCGACTCCCTCCCGATTGAAAACGCCAACCGCGCCCTCCGCCGCCAGCCCGCTCCGCGCACTCCGCACCTCAGAACTTGACTTCAGCACTGTGCCTCCTCTGAGTGTCCGCATGTGTTTCTCTTTCCTCCTAGTTGTAGGACTTCCACTCAGCCAGCGTTCCTGTGGTTCTGGGTGATGTCCCTTCCGCTTTTTGGTTTCACTCCTGAAGTAGTTGTTCAAAGCAGCAAACTCCGGCGCCAACCTATGCCGCCATCTTGGTTCTCCTCCAAGCTTTCTGGTTTTTCATTTTTGAATTCTGTAGATTAGCTGAACCTCAGGATCTATGCACTAAGCTTCCAGTGGGGTGGAGTGGGCTGTTTGGTGGTGTGTGCACGTGCACTTGTGTGTATACGTGCATGCACTTGTGGGTATGTACTTAGTGTGTATATGTATGCATGCACTTATGTGTATATGTACTTGTGTGTGTGTACTTTGTGTGCGTGCTTATGTATGCATGCACTTGTGTGTGATGTGTACATGTACTTGTGTGTGTGTACTTTGTGTGCGTGCTTATGTATGCATGCACTTATGTGTGATGTGTACATGTACTTGTGTGTGTGTACTTTGTGTGTACACAAAGTACAACTGTGCTCCTGGGCTGGCTCCTCAGCGACGTGCTTAGGCTGGTTTCTGTCCCCAGAGAGCCAGGACGATCTTGGAGTTTGAGAAGATGCTGCCAGAATGGCTGAGGAGCAGGTTCCGGACGGGGGAGCTGTGTAAAGTGGCAGAGGAAGATTTCCGGCTGTGTCTGCGGTAACAGAGGGAGAGGGCCCTTTGGGGTGGTCTTTGGTGGGTCAGGAGGCCGGGTGGTGAATGCTAGAGAAGCAGTGCTGCCCCTGCGTGCCGCCCACAGCCACGCTCTGTTCTGGACCCTCCCGAAGGCGAATGTGCCCTCCGGGGTCACTGGCCTGGGACGAGGCTTCCTGAGCTGCAGGAGGACAGGAAGGCTCTGCTGCCTCGGTCCCCTCTCTGTGGGGGTGGAGGGGCCCCCACAGCCTCTCCCTTTCCAGTGTCTGGTTTAGGGAAGGCTTTCCAAGGGGCACTCTGTCCTTCTGTCCACCCTGTGGCTTCAGTGACACTAGGGGACAGAGGCACACTGTCCCTGGCGATGGAAATGAGGCAGCTGCCTTTGACAAATACCACGTTTTTTGATTTTAAAAAAGTGCTTGCACCTGCCATGGCTGTCTTTCCTGCTCAGTCCACCTCTTCCCACCCCATCTGACTGCCTGACCCTGCAGACCACCTTCCTTTCTATTTCTCTGGCTGAGATAGCCCCCTGCCCCCCCGCCCCTGCCATCATTTCCGACTGTAATTGTCTCTGATTCTGACATATTCACTCTAGAGATGGCCTCTGAGTGTGAACTTTAGCCAAACCGCCGCCGCCAGTTGTGATCCAACACCGTAGACACTGCTCACTCTTTAGGGGTTCGAATCCCAACCACCTTCTAGTGCCACCTTAACAACTAGGGTTAACCTAGTCTATGCTTTTTATCCTCCCACCCTCGCATCCTCTCAGCTGGGGCCCTAATCCCCTCCCCCCTCCCTCCTCCTCTCCTCCCCTCCCTCCTTCCCCAGGAACCGCCCTCACCAGTCAGGCACACTGCTGCTGTCTGAAGAGGTCCCCGTGATGCCTCTCTGAGTTTTGGGGTCTCACACACTGGGAGGAGACTGAGCCCCGGAGGCCTGGGAAAATGGGGACTTGGGCAGGTTTCAAACCCTGATCCCTGGGACAGACAGAGGGGAGCTGTCTAGGACCCCCAAAGGCCATGCTATTTGTGTTTAATGAGGTGCAGTTGTGAAATAGTGCGAATGATTCTTACACTCGCAGGATCAACGAGGTGAAGTGGACTGAATGGAAAACACACGTCTCCTTCCTCAACGAAGATCCCGGGTCCGTGAGGCGGACAGGTAGGACGTGTGACAGCCATTCCTGCCTGACCATGCGACCTTGGGCAGACTGAGTCTGAGGGCCCTGATTTTCCCCATCTGTGAAATGGGAGGATTGAATTAAATTGGTTCTCAGGTCCCTTCCAATTCTGATGTTTTAGAACTCTAGTTGGAATAACTTCTAAAAATCAGGCAGCGGCAAACTGGGTGGTGCAGTGAGGCATGGAATTACCGACCTTGCAGACTGCTGTATTTCTAAAATAGTGTTTGTTTGTTTGTTTGTTTGTTTGTTTTAAAGCAGATTTCAACAAAATCCAAGATTCTTCCAGGAGCAACAGCAAAACCACCCTCAATGCGTTCGAAGAAATAGATGAGTTTCCGGAAACTTCAGTGTAGCAGCAGAATCCGGAACTGGTGTGCGCATGGGTGCTGCAGGCTGGTCTGGGACTGCGTGCTGAGGGCTTTGCCTCGTGATGGAGCCTGGCCCTGCCCGCCTGGAAGCAGAAAGCACCCTTGGGCTGAACTGAGAGGCGGTTGTCAGTGTTCTGCATGGAAAAGACCCTGGATTTTGTTACTTGGTGAAGAGTTTGTGTGGACGGATGGCCAGCAGTCCTGAACCTGGGGTTCCTGAAATCCCTGGGTTCACCAGCTGGTGACCAGGTCAGCTCGGCTGGGAGAGGAGCCGTAGGGAAGGGGCGGGGCCCGAGGAGCAGGACTTTCTTCCTGCCAACATGTCCTTGGGAGCCGCAGCCGCAGCCCACACATCCCTCCTCTTCCCTGCTGTGACTGGGGCTTCTGAATTGAAGGGACTCTTGGTCCCATCCCAGAACATACAGAGGACTGAGCAAGTCCAATCTCCTGGGGGAGGGGGGTGTGAGTTATGGAAATGCCCTTCCAGAACCTTCAGGGAACAGGAAACTACCCTTGGAATGAGTGCCCACTGGCACCCCAAGGCTCAAACTGTCTCAAAGTGAGAGACTTTTCGTAGTGTAATTAACACTGTTTATTATTATTATTATTATTATTATTATTATTATTTTATTTTCAAAAGAAAAAGGACATTTCAGTTTTAAATGAAAAACACTTCAGATGAAGTCCATGACTTTAAAAGTGGAGAAGTAGACGTGAGGATTTGTGACTGGATGGAAGTATTGTGTACTAGGCCTCAGGGTGGCGGGGGCAAAAACAAAAAGCTTTTCTTTGCGCGCACAAAGGTCCAGATGAGACGTGCACAGTGTGAGGCGGCCCCGGCACTTGCAGGGGACTCCGGAGCCAGCTGGACGCTGTGATGGGGCGAGAGAGCCTGGCTCTCCTCCTCGCCCCGGCCCTGCAGTAGTGCCCGCCTCCGAGCTGGGTCCCAGCTTCGTCCGAAACAGAAATAGCAGCTGATCTATTTATATGGCCTGACATCCCAGAGGTGACTCTCATACATCAGTGTTTCTCATCAGAGGAATTCAACAGAATACCTGAAACGCTCTGGCACTAAATATTCTTGTTAACTGTGAGTTTGGAAGCTGAGGAAAAGGTTGAGAAAGGCGCATTTGCCAAGATGAGTGGCTTGCTTTTAGAGCCTCATCCTGATTTCCTCCCCCTGAAATCACACGGAGCCAGTCTGGGGGCAGAAATGAAGTAGAGAGGGAAGAAATGTCCCAGATGTCTGGAGCCGCTCCGCCTCGGTTGTCTGGTAAAGGGATTCATGTGGGAATTGTTGAGGCGGAATGACAAGTATATTAACCACGAATTTAATTTGAAATGCCGCAAAAATGAATTTGGCCTTTAGGCCACATGGAAATTGGCTGGTTGACTTGAGGCCAATGGGGAAGTGCAAACCAAGCAGCCACTCTGGGCTGTTTCTCGGCTCTGGGCTGTTCTGTGTGCCAGCACCTGGGTGAGTGGAAACTTGGCCTTTGTGCCCCTGATGGGCCGGGTCAGGGAGAGATGGGATGGGTCAAGGATGCAGCCTGAGAGTCACACAATCTGCAGCAGCCCGTGCCCTTCCAGCTGACCCAGGCGCCAACCACGCTCTGCACCGCAGTGGTCAGACCAGGCTCAGGTGTGAGCAGGGACTAGGCATGTCCTCTGGGAAAGGGAAGGCCTGTCACGGAGGCGGGAGGAGCAGATGTGTGCCAGATGTGGGCAGCACTAGTGCCAAAGGTGGGAAATTTCAGGGGAAAGATTTTGGTTCCATTCAGTCCTACAGCTGTTCTAGATATTGGAGATGTTTAAGCGGAAGCTGGTTGAGGACCTATTAGGGATGATGTTAAAGATCACAGTCAGTTGAACTTTAAGGTCCTTTTAGCCTGCAGATCGGCATCCTGTACCTAGAGTTACCTGTTTACATACATCGAGAACAGATGTCTTGGTTTGAAGGGCAGCCATTTGGGTCCATGGCGCCGTGCTCTACACATTGGAGCTGGGAATTCCAGAATTGCTTTGACTCCCATATGCATGGATAAAGCCATTTCCATTTCTTGGGAGGTTAGGGAAGTAGAAATCAGTAATGAGATCTTTGTCTTCTCACGTGTACGGAAAGCTGTGGGGCTGGATAGAATTTGCTGTACTGGATAGTCATCCCCAGAAGGCGTTCAGCCTGGCTAGTCTGAGCCTAGATGGGTTTCTCAGGTGAAGGCAAGCAGTGGGCCAAAGAGCATCAGGTTAAAAGGACGAGTCCCCTTATTTTACACCTAAGACTAAAGCTCAGAAAGGAAAGCACACTTACTCATAGTCAGGCAGGAAGTCATAGCAGAGCTGTTGAAATTGGAGTGTTCAGATTTCTGGGCCACAAATGCCCCCCTGCACCATCATTTTAAAAAGCAGTTACTCAGTAAATTTGAGTCTGCCTTTGTGGTTGGCATATGTCAGCCGGCTATGGCTTCCTGCTCAGGTGATTCATATTGACGGTCTACATGGTCCCTATGATCTTATGACAGATTTGAAACTCAAGTGTGCACACAGATGTGCATAAAATAACACACACACACACACACACACATACACACACACACACACACCAGGCCACACTAAATCCGTGGGCATACACAAACAAACACACACCAGGCCACACTAAATCCATGGGCATATTAGGGCATGTTAAAACGCCATGATTTACATTTCAGCAATTTAAGGGGAAGGCATTTTCCAGGGATAGAATCTCCCACGCTCAGGTAATGATTTGAGCTGGAAATTTTCTTTTAGCTAAACTCTGCCTCAGGAAGAATCCATTATTCTAGACATCATGTGATGAATCTATTTGGAATAAAAATGGTGCTTACCTTCCTCCCTGGGGTGTGGGAGAAGGTATGCGAGGTTGTACTGTGAAGTCATTAAGCTCTTAGAAGGCTCCTGCCCGAGAGAGCCCAGTGTTATTGACGTTCCTTTCCTTCCTCAAGGCCCGGAGAGCTGTGTCCTGTTGCTTTGGGCGGGACCCAGGCAGCGGGGCCATCATCCTGGCCTGTAAGCCATACTTGATTTCTGCATTGGTTTACATGTTCTTTACTGTGATCTCGGTTCCAAATGCAGAATTATCATCTTGTTCTCATTGAATGTGCCTTATCCTTGTAAATTCTAATTTACATACTTGTTCTTAGTTTTGTGTGTGTGAGACTCGATGTTCAAGAAAGAAGTCATAAATAGAGTAAGAACATTTTAGTGTCCTTGAAGAAATGCTTTTATGATTTCTAATAAATATTTATTTTGCCTTGTTATAATTGTGTTTTCTTGTATTAAGGGTGCCAATATAAAGACCTACTAGGAATCCTGGAGTGTTACTCAACATGAGTGGATAAAGGGAAAGCCACCTCTTGGACCTGAAGCATTATTATTGGTCCCAGCTCAGGGACAGAGCCAGCACAATAACACAGGTCATCTTTGTACAGTGTTGACCTCTCAGAGTGCATTCACCTCCAGTACCCCATTGAAACCCCTCAACAACTCTGGAAGGAGTTTGAGTAAAATGAGACCCAGGAGTTGAATGACATGCCCAAGAAGTCACAGCCAGAAAACGTTGTGGTTCAGGACGTATGACCCCCAGGCTGTGTTCTACCCATCATGCCCTGCTGGCCCCCCCACTGGCTCTCAACTTATTTTGCAAGAATAGAAAACCATGGCTCCACCTGGAGACCAGAAAGTATAAATCTCTTCTTTCTACCTCACAGGACCTTTGTGAGGAGGCAATGAGGAAATTGTTATGAAAGAGCTGATGTTATTACCACCATTATTACCCAACTCATATGTATTTGCTCCTTTTCATAACGATGACAGTTCTCAATTTAAATGCCAAGACACTGCTGTGTCTTGATAGGTTGCAGAACTTCCAAACACTTTATTAATAAGTGAAATGCTGCATTTGGTGAATTATTTACTTAATTCGAATTATTCCCAGAATAACATCTTTTAATGGAATGTGTTTTCTTTAGTGGCAAGAAATGGAATTGTACATAATCCACATCCTAGATCAAATAGGCTTTAGCTATAATCTAGGAATGGATGTGCCATCTATGGGAACATTCTGGATGGACTGATTTAAAAAAGAGTGGAAATCCCTGTTATTGGATATATTCTGAAAGTGTGATGCCTAAATCAACGAGTGTGAACAGTTTTATAGCTCTTGATATTATGAAAAATTACCTTCCGAAGGTATTTTGCAATTTTTTTTAGCCTTTGATATTGTATGATTCCCATTTATAAAACTGAAGTTCACTGGTGCTAGTCTAATAGTGTCAGTGAGCTTGTATAACACATTTAAGAATAAGTGTCATTGCCCTGGCAATGACAACCTACAGCTCCAGTCGGGGCACATACAGAAGGTAACCAACCAATGTTTCTCTCTTGCATGGATGTCTCTCTCTCTCCCTCTCCCTTCCTCTCTCTAAAAATCGATAAAAAAGAGTGTCATACAGGTAAAAGGAGTGCGGGTAAAGGGAGTGTGGGGGTGGAATAAGGTTTCAAGAAGAGGAAATAATATGGGTAAAGACCCCAGAGTAGTAGGGAGCTCAGGGTAGTTGAGGATGGAGAACTCTGTGTGGCCAAATTGCTTGGAGCAAGGGGGCAAGTGACATGAAATTGGGCTGGAGAGGAGGGTAGAGGCCAGAACACAAAAGACCTGTCTGGCCTAGGTGAGGTCTTGAGATTTCATATCAAGGGTTAGGGGAAGCCACTAAAAGTTTTTGTATAGGGGGAATTATTGAATGTTAATATTTATCTGTTTTTGTATGGGGTTGCAGGCTGAAAAGAGTGTGTTTTCCTGTCTGCCATTCTTTGGGACAAAGTAACAGTCTGAAGGGTGTGGAATGGAGTGAATTTCACTTGGGAGATGGGAGAGGTCAGGAAGTGACTGAGAAAGAAAAGAAGGCGAAGAGAAGCACAGACATGGGTGTAATAGGAAGATTTTTCAGTAGAGAAGGGATGTTAGAGCACACTCATTTATTCAACTAAACTTCATTTAGCACTTATTAGATTGCACACACCAAAAAAGACACTGGTTATATCTTCGAGATGGGATGGAAGCAGAGAGAGGAAAGGAGCAAGCCAAGAAGGCTTTATGGATGAAATGAGATTGAGTTGCTTATCTATCATCTATCTATCTATCTATCTATCTATCTATCTATCTATCTATCTATCTATCATCTATCTATGTTAATCCTCACCCCAGGGCATTTTCCCATTGATTTTTAGAGAGAGTGGAAGGGAGGGGGAAGGAGAGAGAAAAGAGAAAGAGAGAGAGAAAGAGAGAGAGAGAGAAAGTGAGAGAGACACATCAATTGGTTGCATCCCACATGCACCCTGGGGATCGAGCCTGCACCCGAGGTACATGACTTTGACTGGGATCGAACTCAAGACCCTTCAGTCCACAGACCAACACTCTATCCACTGAGTCAAACCCTGCTAGGGTGAGTTGAGTTGCATTTTCAAGGAAAAATAAGAATTAGCTAGAGTGATGTCTGAAGGGGGGCGGGGGTTGGGAGGGATGGAGAAAGGGGGAAGAAAATTCGAGGTGGAAGGACCATCTTCTGTGAAGGAATAAGAAATAAATGACACAAAGCAGTCTGGAACAGAGAGGACCTGAAGGGAGATGAGTCTAGAGAGATGGTGGGGGAAGGAGGGGCTGATCATAAAGGGCCTTTTGTGTTAGATATTTGAACTTGAATAATTTATTATTCTGTGCTAGGCACTGTGCTAAGTGCTTATATGCATTAGCTCACTTATTCTTCACAACGACCCTATGAGAGGGGCATTGATATTATGATTATCCCCATTTCATAAATGAGAAAACCAAGTCTGCAGACTTAGAAATAACCAAAATACTAAAGTGGCTAAAGCCACACAGCAATATGTAATAGATTTTTTAAAAAAATCACACTTAATTAGAAACTCTGAAGACTATAAGCTTTCAGTCAGAGAAAATTAGACTTGTTAGAAATAATCAGTACAAAACTGAAACCACAGTGGCTTACACTGGACCTTGCATTTTTTTTAAAAAATATTAAGTCCTAATTTCTTTCTTTCTTTTTAAAATCTTTATTGTTGAAAGTATTACATATGTCCCCTTTTCCCCCATTTATCCCCTCCAGTCTACCCCCGCCCCCTGCCCCAGACCTTCACCACCCTATTGTCTGTGTCCATGGGTAATGCATATATATATATGCATACAGTGAGCCTTGTAAATTTTATAAGTAACTAAATTTGATGGAAGAATAAGGTATTCTTGGTAAAATTTACACCTGGACAAAACTGACCCAGGAAAATTGGACTCAGACATAAAACACAAAGGAACATTCACAGTGGGAGAAGGAAGCTTGGTATGTAAAAAAACTGATAGGTAAGTTGAAGTTTTACTAAAGAATTCAGAAGGAAGAAAGTTTATTCCAATGAAAAGGATTTTGTTAAAGTGCAAAAATAAATGTGGAAAAAATTAAAGGTTGTGCTCTATTCCATTACGTATGGAATGAAATTGGCTTAATGGAATTTGCTCTGGAAGAATGAAAATGATTATGTATATACGCTCCACATAATGTTAGTACGATTTTTTTAAAATACATTTGAAACCGTAAACATGGGTTCCGTTGGGTCCAAATCTTGGGATAACAATGTTCTTTACTTTGCTGCTGTGACTAAGGGCAGAGAGAGGGGAGGCTTCTGGAGGGGCTGGAGAGGGAGGGAGGCAGCATTCCAGCTGGAAGATCTTTGAAAAGACGAATCATGTAAGGTGAGGGATGTGGGCACTTAGGACGAGGACAATTTCTTGAAAGAATGCATTTAAGAACCAGAGACCTGGGTCTGGGCACATTTCCACTAGTGTCCACTGTTCGCTGCTATTTCTGTCTTTACTGCCTATGCTGTGGGGACCCAAAGACTTCCTCGTATGTTGGTTGCAAATGAGGGCAAGTGCGTTCTTTCAAAAGGAGAAGTGACAGCTGTGAGGAATGTGCCTCTCCCGACTTTCCCAAATTGGGAAGGAACCTTAGCTTCTCAAGAAGGAGGCTCTCAGTTCCCTGAGGTCAGCGCAGAACAAGTGGACAGGCCTGAGCAGCGACGCTTTGTGAGGGTTACTGTCTGTGGACAAAGGGCATTCAGAGATTTTTATTTATTCATAATGTCACTTTTACAATCAGCCCTCATTTCTCATTCGCATGTAATCTTCAAAAGAGCATTTAAAAATCTCTTGATATTACAACTAAAGTTCATAGGTTAGATTATCATTCGTCCAACTATGTAAAATTTAAAAACTGTAAGTCTACATCATTGGTTTCTGGTAGCATTACACATTACTTGAAAATATATTTAATTTTATGCTCAAGTTAATAAGTTTTTGTATATAGTACCTATTTCAACTTAAAAATTTGAATTTAAAAACTTTATTAAGAATGTTAAACAATCAAAGTATAATGTATAAAAAGCTTTACAGAAATAAGAAATACACCTCTTTGAATAAGCTATGTACACAATATCTACCTTTAAAAGATATCCATTAATTAATTTATTCATTCATTCAAGAATGTGCCCAAATGCCCACTGTGTGCAAGGCCCCGAAGGAGGTGCTGGGGATATGAATAAGGCACATTAAATCCAGCGCAACCCTACCCTTTGGGGGCTTACAGACTAGCGGAGCTTTTCAAGATACTGCCTAACAAGTGAACCAGAAGTGATGTCTAATGTAAAGAGGAGCGAATACTTTTTGCCTTGAGTGTTAGTATAGTTGTCTTGGCAAAAGCTTCTTTCTTTTCATAATACGCAGCCTCATTTACAAACGTCGGGTACACAGTACAGTCTCCACCTAATGGGATTGTCTCTCCATCAAGAGTTAAAAACACAGGATCCTCAGGGCGCAGTGGTTTCCAGTCTTGATCCTCTCAGGAAACAAAATACACAAATTACATTCGGTTTCTCTCCTACTTTCAACATTTTTGTGTGAGGCTGTAGACAACTGAAACATTTAGCACCGGATTCTGTCAAAAGAGATACAAACCTCCTACACTCTGCCAAGAGCCCCCCTCCCCCCTTTCACTATGCTGTTATTGATCAAACCAGACAAGCAGCAGATATTAGGGACCTGAGGAGAGTCAGGAAACGGCAGAAAACATTCCAAAGAAAGAGGCTTTGATTGTTGTGCTCTAACTTACTCAGCGGTGATCGCAGGGAGGTGGCAGCAGTGTGGTGAACTGCAGAGAACATTAGCTCTGGATCTGCCACTGATAGCTCGATGGCT